TCATCTGGATCAATCAGTAAATAACATAATTAAAAAAAAAACTATAAATAATACTTTTTTATTATAAAAAACATATTTACTGCAGGAGTCAATAACCATTAATATTGCCCAAGATTTTTTTATGCCATTTTCTATAACCCCTTCTTGTCTTCAACCATCTGCAGTTACAATTGACCATCCATTCATGATGTTTAAAATTTGAATTGAAAATTTTAAATGTGGCATATCAACATGCTAAAACCCATACCAGTTTACATAGGCTTTTTTCCCCTTATAAAGTTTTTTAAAAAAAAAAAAAATAAAGTATATTCAAATCCTTTAAAAGGTCTAGATTTTTTTAATTAGAAGGTGCCATCTCATCTCACTGCTAGGCACCATGTAAATGACATTTTGTACGTGTTGCATAATAACATGTACAAAACAACTTAATTTTGCAAAAATTTTAAATATTTTTTAAAAAAGTTGCCATAAATCAACCCAACACACTACTTTGGTGTCAATGAGGGGTTAGGAAAAGTGTTCACCCCTCTCAATTCATCAAACTTTTGACTTAGTCTAAAAAAATAGTGTAACATAAATTTGTCTTAAGTGGCGGAGTCACATTGAGGTTAGGCACTAGTTCGTTTTCAAATTTTTTAGAATTTGACATGGGTGAATGTCGCGAGACAGTTCGGTACATATTCGGTGTGAGTGTTATAGCATTGAGAAATTAAAATTTGATAGATGTGCAAAACAGATAAAAGGATAGTAGAGATTAAAATTTTTGGGGGTGGATTTTTGGCATAGTCTAACATTTTTTGTTGCTGTTTGTCTCACTTCATCATTATTATTCCTCGTGTGCGAAAAAACTTAAGAGAAAATTCTTCAAATCTGATTACATATTGAACAATTACTGTGTTACCCAATCTAAGTTAGTGTGAATTTTGAAATATTCGCCTCCTCTCACAAAATTTTATAACTCTGACATTTATCTAACCCCAGTTTGCACTTTTAACTCTACATGAAAGCACACCAAATATTCATTTGAAATCAAGGTAATAGGGTCGTTAAATAAAATCAATTAAAAAAAGCGAATGTTAAAAGATCCGAAGTTCTCAAAAAGATTAAGGACTTGTGGTAATTATGGTCGCTTTTCTTAAACTATGTACAGTGATGAATTAATTGAACGTGGTTTAAAATCTTTGTCGTAATAATAGGTATTTCATTTATTACAAACACTAAAAAATAGCATTAATGATAGTATTAATTACAAGAAAGGTTTAAATATGCATAAAATATAAAAAATTATAAAATTTCATTAATTATAGTGTTGAATATACGTACAATCAATGACAGTGTTAAATATAGTTGTGGAAATAAGTAATTAGCACTGAATTAGTGGTTAATGATTTGTAAGAAGTCATAGGTACTTTTCGAACTTTATTTTTTTTTTAATAAAAAACTCTTATGTTAATTTGCCAAAATTATGATGTTGATAGTATGAGAAATAAATTCTAGGAGTGATTAATCCAACACCAATTGGGCTGGGTCTAATCACATACGGTTGAAGGTAGAAAATGTTGATGGAGAGAAGGAAAGGTATTATGCTGTTGCCGAGATGCTTGGGGTCCAGGTGAGATGAGGTTGTGTGTTGCAAGATGTCTGGAAAGTACTTTAGCTTTTCTGGGTTGGATGAGAGCGACTGGAGTATATCTGCAAAAGCACTCCAATGCTCAAGTCAGTATTTTACTCAAGTAAGTTCAAGTATTCAAATAGAGATATCATACCTGGACATGCTTCTGCATTCATAGTGTTTGAGCGTTGTGTTTACCATCGTCCTTCATAAGGCGATGTCTAGTTTGATTCCTTAGTGGATGTTCAAATCAGCAATCCAGAGGAGGGTGAATTCCATTGTGTCAAGATACAAGGGTCAACTTATTGCTTGGGATGTTGTTAATGAAAATTTGCACTTCTCAGTCTTTGAAAGTAAACTTGGACAAAAATTTTCAGCTAGGATGTTCAGAAAGGTTCACAATATTGATAGGCAAACCACTTTATTCATGAATGATTATAATACCATTGAGGATAGTAGAGACGATTTATCATCCCCAGCAAAGTACATCCAGAAGCTCAGAGAGATACAAAGCTATGTTGGGCATCAAAGATTGCCAATTGGAATTAGGGTTGAGTCCCATTTACCTAATTCTCCTCCTAATCTGCCTTACATGAGAGCTTCCATTGATACCCTTGCAGCTACTGGTTTACCAATTTGGATTACAGAACTAGATGTTGCATCCCAGCCTAATCAGGTAAAATTCAATACCAACAAAACCAAGTTATTTTCATGTCAAAATTCTTATTTCTCATGCAACAATTTGATATGCTACTTTGTTGATAAGGTTCTTATTGCTTATACTGAGGTCAGCCTTGGGCTGTAAACATAGAGATATTTCTTTTAGGCAAAAAGAAATATAGCTCTGCATCAAAATGTGATTTCAATATTTTACTCTTTTTTGCATTTAATTTGTTAAAGTTTTGCAATCATGTTTGTGCAGGCAGAGTACTTCGAGCAGGTTCTTAGGGAAGCATACTCACATCCACAGGTTCAGGGCATTGTAATGTGGACAGCATGGTCACCACAAGGTTGCTATAAGATGTGCTTAGTAGATAACAATTTCAAGAACTTGCCTACAGGGGATGTTGTGGACAAGCTACTTAGTGAATGGGGGTTAAAAATATTATCAGGGAGAACAGATCAAAACGGGTTCCTTGAGGCCTCCCTTTTTCATGGCCACTACAAAATGGAAATCAGTCACCCTTTCAATAAGAACTATACTTTCACTCGTAACCTCCAAGTGATTCCAACGGATGAGTTCAACAAAACAAATCAATTTATTCAACTTTTTATTTAGTTATTGCTTCTGCATATTAGGCTTATGGTTTATAATAAAAACTTTTTTGGCGGGCCATTGCATATTGATCTTTCTATCATTGCTTGTTTGTTGTCTTACTCTTTTACCTTTTAGCTTCGTGTTGCTTACTGCAATTAGTTCAATTATTGCTCTCTACGTTCGTACATTCTGATTAACAATCTCAATACATAGGCAAGTAACAGTGAGTGCCATGTACTAGTAATAATTAAAAAAATTCAATGAGAACAATTTTTTTAATATTTTATAAATTTATAACACTGTACGATCATTAATAATGAAGTTCTTTTTACCATCTTCTTAGATCTAAATCAGCTTAAGCTTAAATGAGCTTAGGCGTATGTACTTTAAAAGAAGAACTTATATGGCTAAGTGTGGAATAGGTCCGTCCAGCATCATAATAGGAATTTGGGCTGTCACAATCTTAAAACAAATGTATTTTAAGATTATGATTTACGAAAACCACACAAATGTTACGGCAATTAAGTTTCACACATGACCGGAAAACCAGAGCAAGGTTTTAATAGGACCTATATTTTCGGCAACTGTCTGTGGTCAACCAAACACAGCCAGCCACAAAACCATGACCTTCGCAGTTCACATCATTCTTTTTCTCAATTTCCTAATCTAATATGTTAATTTTCAGAGCAAACAAATTCATTTATATTAGGGTTTTGTATCTATAATTTAACATGACCACAACAACTTTCCTACACACACAACATTTTGTGGGACCCACAATTTTTGAAACCAAAAAAAAAAAAAAAAACTCTGGCACGCAAAACGAATCTCTATAACATAACACAATCACTTTTCCTACAACATAACTCTTATTAAACCCTTTATATTATGTACAGGGGAAAAAAAAGAAAAGAAACACAATCTGATTATGATAGCTGGCAAGAGTCAATGGTACTGATACACGAGCTCAACTAAACACCACTCTACTTTTGTTTAACACATTCAATTCCCATTTAATTACAACACGTAGCAGGTCTTTTTTTTTTTTTTCTCTCTGACATCTTTACTTTTTGTGAAATCCCATTTATTACCCTACTCTTTTGCCTTGAATTCGTTCACCAATTTCCTGAGAGAGAAGGCCTTCGGTAGAGGAAGAAAAGGGGCATGTTCTTTTCTGTCCTCTCTCTCTCTCTCTCTCTCTCTCTCTATGATCAGACACGCACATAATACAGCTAGATGGAGCACAGAAACTCCTTCTCTCTCTCAAATTATTACTACAAGACCATTCAGAGTACAGATGGATCCTCGATTATAGAGGTTTAGCAGCTGGAATCTGCACTCCCACTACGGGTGTTACTGCCACACCACAACTATTGTCATTTTGATATAACAATCCAATTTCATTGACCAAATTTCGAAGAAGAAATAGGAAGAAAAGTTCAAAACTTTTTGACCCTACCTCAGTCTTCATCATTCCATTAGGTAGGTAAATTGCCGTATTGCAATGATTCTTATCAAGAGTATTGGATCCCACTTCAGCGAAGTTTTTAAAAGTGCTAAAATCTATGTGTATGAGCAAACCCCAAGAAAATGAGTATAAAATTACATGCATGGGTTTTGTTTATTCCACAATATATTAAAATAATGTACTTAATTTTGTTTGCTTGCATAGTTGTTTACCTTCGTTTGATAATGCTGCAGTTTAGGAATATAGAAATCATAGAGAGAAGAAAAGAATGGTTATTCCTCGTCTGCGGAGACTGGGATGATTTCACGTGAAACTTCTGCCATAGTGTCCGTGAGTCTTGCAAGCCTTACAGGAAGAGTTTCGAGAAACGAAGCCAACCACTTTAACCACAGTAAGTGTCTTCACTTTGATGGATTCCCAGTGCTCAACAATAGGGGTTCTGCTTCTGCACACTGCCATGGTTTTGTTCAACTCCATTCTCAGTAACTGAACTCTCTCTCCATTTGCTTGGGTCTCTCTGGCATAACAATGGGCATGGCTATGCATGTTTCAAGCACAATGGTAGATCTGAAGAGTGAAGACTTAAAAGTGAGTTAGAAGAGCACCAGCTAAGAAAATCAGAGGTTTTTCAGTAAATTTAAGTTGGTTAGTGAACACTCATTTTGAATTAAAGAATTCCACAAATTAGAATCTTCCACGCGCAATGGCTCTTATGAAGATCTGATTTGCAATTGCAATTGCAACACTCTGATTACTTTGGTCCCTTTTTCATTCCTAATATGGAGAGATTCTCTGTATTTGTTACTACCTCTGTGTTCTGTCTCCTTCTCCTGATGTCCCAACCTGCTTCATCAGAAGATGATTCCAAAGCACTTCTTGCGCTCAAATCCTCCATTGATGTTCTCAACAAGCTTCCATGGCGAGGAGGAAGCGATGTTTGCACATGGTTAGGAGTCAAAGATTGCTTCAACGGAAGGGTTAGAAAGCTAGTTCTCGAAAGCTCAAACTTAACCGGTGCTCTGGAATCGAAGATCTTGAACCGTTTGGATCAACTTCGAGTACTCAGCTTCAAAGGAAACTCACTCTCTGGTCAAATCCCTGACCTCTCTGCCTTGGTTAATCTCAAATCCATATACCTCAACGACAACAACTTCTCCGGCAAATTCCCCGCCTCTGTTTCCCTCCTTCATCGTGTCAAGGTCATCGTTTTATCCGGGAACAGAATCTCCGGCGACATTCCTCCGTCGGTGCTCAAGCTCCGGCGACTCTACATTCTCTACTTGCAAGACAACTTGTTCACGGGACCTATCCCCGGTTTCAATCAAACCGGCCTAAGGTACCTGAATGTCTCCAACAACCAACTCTCCGGCGAGATCCCGGTGACTCCGGCATTGATCCGATTCAATGCGTCGTCGTTTTCGGGAAACCCTGGGCTCTGCGGCGAACAGATCCACCGGACATGCAACTTGTTGCCGCCGCCGCCGTCGATAAGCCCAAGTTATCCCATGAAACAACCAGGAGGGAACACGACATCATCGAACCGCACGAAACTGATTAAGATAATTGGAGGGAGTGTCGGTGGGGTTGTTTTGGTTCTAATATGCTTGCTTCTTCTGCTGTTGGCGAATCGCAGGAACCGTAGGAAAAGGGTGGGTTCTGGATCGAGGACTAAATGCGGTGACGTGGCAGAAGAAGGGGAGGATCATGCAATAGCAATTGTGGAAGGAGGCGATGGCAGAGGCGGTAATAACGAGGGGAAACAAGGGGGTTTTGCATGGGAAAGTGAGGGTCTAGGGAAGTTGGTGTTCTGCGGAACAGGGGATCGGGAGATGAGTTATGGTTTGGAGGATTTGCTGAAGGCTTCGGCTGAGACTTTGGGGAGGGGTATTATGGGAAGTACGTATAAGGCAGTGATGGAGTCAGGGTTCATAGTTACTGTGAAGAGATTAAAAGATGCAAGGTACCCTGGGTTGGATGAGTTTAGGGCACACATTGAGATCCTTGGGAGGCTTAGGCACCCTAACTTGGTCCCACTTAGGGCTTATTTCCAGGCTAAGGAGGAACGTCTTCTTGTTTATGATTACTTTCCAAATGGCAGCCTCTTTTCTCTAATTCACGGTATGTATGTCTTCTCTCTTCTTAATTTTCATTAATTATCACTCATATCCTTAATGTATCATTATTTGATTTGCCTGAAAAAAAAAAGAGTGTAGTATTTGTTCCTCTTAAAAATTTAGAATTCACAAAATTTTAAAAAGAATTTAAAGAAACTAAATTATAAAAAATGCCTGCTCAATTGTAATTAAGAATACTGTACAATTTTAAAATAAACATGTTAGTTTAGTATACAAAGCAAGTATATTTTTGTGTGAAAGGAAGGGGTATAAATCATATAACTATTATTATAGGTATGTCGTTTTGAGCATGCAAAGGGGGCTGAGAGTGACCTAAAAGTTTATTATCTTTTGGTAATGGGGCCTCATGTGATATCCAAGTATATCTATGCACTAAATCTTTCCCTCTCGCAAAGATTTGGTTAAATAAGGACAAAAGGTGTTACTTTCCCTGTCCAAGTGTTTAATGTAATTCTGACTTTATAAAGATGTGTGCTCTCAATTTGACAACTCAATTATGACTGTGACCCCATGTTTAGTGTGTAGTCCCACTCAACCATTGAAAAGTAAAAAAGGGTTGAATGAGTTTGTGCTTTAGTGGGCTACCATGCGCTTCTACAGTGATCTAATCGGTACTTCCATCGGGGTCAAATTAAGGGAAATATTTAATATGCTTCAAGATCACCTAATGATTTGGTATTCTTTCTCACAACACTAATTTTTTCTTTTTCTTTTTATTTCTATTATTTTTCTTCTTTTTCAATTTTACCCTTCCATTTACACTAAAGGACCACCTAAAAAATGGTGATCCCGCACCACATTAAATTCTCTCCAAATTAAGCCATATATATTTACTTTTATTATGTTCGAAATTTCATAATTCATTTGAAATTCTCGGGACAATGACCATATTGTCACTTTTTAGGCAAAATTTTACCTGATTGCCATTTCTGAAAAAAAATTTGCCAAAATGCCACGCCTGAATCCCGCTGGTCTGACAAGCGGGAATGGACTGGACACGTGTCAGCTTCTGAATGGTCAACCATTCTCGCTGGACTGCCCAGCTAGAATGACAGAATGCTGACACGTGGCAAAAGCATAGGCATTCTCTGGATGTCTGTACTTTTGCCACGTGTCAGCATTCTGTCATTCTAGCTGGGCAGCCCAGCGAGAATGGTTGACCATTCAGAAGCTGACACGTGTCCAGTCCATTCCCGCTTGTCAGACCAGCGGGATTCAGGCGTGGCATTTTGGCAAATTTTTTTTCAGAAGTGGCAATCAGGTAAATTTTTATTAAAGGAGTGGCAATATGGTCAATGTCCCGAAATTCTCTCACTCTCTCTTCCCTAATAGTTCATCACTTTTTGCTGCACCCTGGCAACGGATTCATAAATGCTAGAATTGCAATTTGTAGGGATCATTGCGGTTATTGCTTTTTAATGTTTTTATTCAAAACTATTGTATTTAAAACAAAAAAACCATGTCACAGTTGAATATTTTTATTAAGGTAGCTGAAATGTTTAGTCCAAAAATAAAGGTTTAGTTTATCCATTGGTTTTGAGCATGATAAATTCAATTTCTTTGTCCTGTAGTCGTCCCTTCTAAAATTTAGTAACCAACCCCGCGAGCTCCCTTCTAGAATCCCTAGTCCTTTATGGGAATTCTTTCCGGTCTCCAGAGTAAAGATTCAGGACAAATGTTGGGTTGGATACACAACAGTGTGTTTCCACAGTTTAAATTCAAAAGCTGTTATATAATAGATAAGTGTTATCATCGCTTGATACTGCAATCCAATTATATAATAGAAAAGGTGAATGTTTGTGGGAAAAGCATAAGCACTATTCTTAATTAGGGAATAGCACCCTTTTCAATTTCTAAGGGACGAGATGATATGCTTTCATGCAGAGCATTCAACAAATCAAGAAATCGGGCCTTTTTTTTTTTTTGAAATTAACTTAACCCTAATTATCTCTTTTAAGGTGAGTTGACTCCTCCTGTATTTTTATAAGTTTCGACTCTTTGAGTTGGTTATAAGACTAATCTCAGGAATGCAGAGTAGGTTAATGATGAAGATATTTAAACTTCTCTCAAAGGTGGTATATGGAGATCAAATCCAGGCACTTTCCTTTTTTCATTTACTCAGCTCCCTTGCTACCAATTGAGCTATTATATAGTCAGGCCTTCTTTTTCTCTTAGAAATAAGGGTGGAATCATAACATCCCAAGAACATAAAGTAATCAATTATTCCAATTGCCAAGATCCTCATGTCACGTGTATTTTTGCTGGCTTGAAACTATTGTTCTTCTCTTCACACGTACTGTGCAGTTTTATTTTCCATATTAAATCCTCGTGAACTTTTAGTCTTCATGCAAGCTGGTGATAATATTTTAGTCTTCATCCATGTGATAATGTGTTTTGAGTTACCTTGATAAATATGTGAGTGAGACTTGCATATCTGCTGCATTTAGTTCTACTGTTTTTAATTATTTTTGAACAAGTGATATTTTCATGATGTGATTGAAATTGTTATTTGTATATGTTATTTGATCCTGTTGGAAGAATCAGAATTTTAAATCAAGATAGCATTCCAAGGATACCATATGTGCTAATACGCAATGAATGAAGTTAATAACAACACTTTTATCATTTCATTTGCTGAGAAGTAAATTGAAAATTTCTGCCTCTTAACATTTCTATTGTCATGACTGTAATGCAGGATCAAAAACATCTGGCGGGGGAAAGCCTCTTCACTGGACATCCTGCCTTAAAATTGCGGAAGATCTAGCAACTGGCATGCTCTATATCCACCAGAACCCAGGCTTGACTCATGGAAACCTTAAATCTTCAAATGTGTTGTTGGGTTCTGACTTTGAATCCTGTCTTACTGATTATGGTCTCACTATGTTCCTTAATCCTGACTCATTGGAAGAGACAAGTGCCACTTCTTTATTCTATAGAGCACCTGAATGCCGCAGCTTTCATAGGTCACAAACTCAACCAGCTGATGTATACAGCTTTGGGGTACTTATCCTTGAACTTTTAACTGGCAAAACACCCTTCCAAGACCTTGTTCAGGCACATGGCTCAGATATACCAAAGTGGGTTCGGTCAGTGCGTGAAGAAGAGACAGAGTCAGGGGATGATCCTTCCTCAGGAAATGAAGCATCAGAAGAGAAGCTTCAGGCTCTTTTGAACATTGCAATGGCATGTGTTTCACTAGTACCGGAGAATAGGCCTACAATGAAGGAAGTTTTAAAAATGATAAGAGATGCAAGAGGGGAAGCTCATGTCTCATCTAATAGTAGTGATCATTCACCTGGTAGATGGTCAGATACTGTTCAAGGCTTTCCAAGGGAAGAACACCTGAGCATATGATTGGTAACTTTTTGACTGGTCAATAGTCACAACTATATATGCATTTTGATTTTTCATGAATTGGTTATTTATTATTCCACGCATAACTAGGTGATACGAAACTCATGCTGTAAAGGCCTAGATTCTTGATCTCTTGTCTTGTGAGTATATGCAGTTTAGAGGTAATTCGCGGATTCAATTGTAGAGTCATCAAAGATTCAGCTTGCAAAAGATTTGGAGGATAATCCTTTTAGCTTTTGGATGATTACTTCCTCCTTCTTCTTCTTTCCCTAATATACCTTAAAAACTATTGTTTGATGATGACTAAATGCAATTTCGTTAATTGGGTGACTCTGAATTTATTACAGGGTAAGGTGTGTGTCATTTTAAGAGAGAGATAAAGGAGGAGAGAGAGTTGACAAAAAAAATAAAGGTGTGGGTCCCACCTCTTTGTGAGAGTGAAATAATATAAGTTGTATCATTTAAATAAACACTTTTCCCTTTATTATAATTCACAACTTAGTCACGAGATATTGCCACATTTGAAAGGTGGAAGAACTGTAAACAAAAACAAAAACAGTAAAAAATAATAATAAATAAAAATTGATGCAAGAATAACGGAAGGAAAGGCTCAAGTAAATGGAGAGTGTACATAATTGTAAATCGTCTACTAAAATTTTCCTCTCTCTTTTTTTCCATTTATTTATTTTATTTCAACTCCTACCTCATTCTAGACTCTCAAAACCAGTTTGCTATCAAGGGCATGGATATGAATTCTTCTTTTGTAACTGATCTCTTTACACGCTTATTTTGTCCCCTTTAGTTAATTTATTTTTGGGAAATAAACATTTTCTGTTGTAGGAGATGTTTTCTCTTATGCAGACAAACACTTGTGGGTCCCGTTGTATTTTTTTAAAAAATAAAATAAATGACATGGTTTTTAACATCTCACAACATGAGAAGAACTTTTTCTAACCGCAGGAGAAAGTTTAAGGGATTTATATTTCTGTGCAGAAATATTTTCTGAGAAAACATTTCTCTCTCTCAAATCTTCTTTATGCGAAAGATAGAATGTTTATGTCGCAAAAATATAAATCCCAAAGTTTAAACCCTTTATTTTTACTGAAATTAACAATAATTGAGAGGTTGAATCCAAAAAATCATTTTAAGAGAATTGGCCCTACCATAAAGTGTATATGTTCTCGCTTTAACAAAATTATTTTCATAGAGAATATATGTGATTTATAAATAAATAAATTGAGTTAAAACCCCGACAAATAAATAAAAACTTTCGAAAGGTGTATCAGACGAAGAGGCACACTAGAATCGGTGACCCCAAACAATAATTATCTACTACCTGAAAGAACAGAAATTAAGACCATGAATCTTTGTTTATCACTGAGTAAATGTACATAAAGGAAAAATAAAATTTCTGTTTTTTCTTACTATATGCAATATCAAAATGTGTTAACAAAAGTACAAACTATATAAAAACACAATGCACCATTCAATTTGTGTACTGACAATTTTTGCATTACAGGACTCAGATTTAAAATCAAATCAATGGTTAGCTTTTACTATTTTGTTCTTTCTAAGTAGCGCAATGTGTAGGAATTTTTTTTCTGCATGAAAAGATGGTAGAAAGGTATAGGGAAATAACAAATTCTGTTTTTCTGTATCTTATATAATGCTAGAAGAGACGTAATAACGACAAAGCAACGAGTTTGGTCTAACCAAAAAAAAATAAAAAAATCATTTAATTATCTGTTTGGTCGATAGAAATAATTTAATTTTGTGTTTTAGGCTATTGATGGTTGATACCTTGGGGGTTCACCAATCTCTAACCAGAAGAATTAATTAAATCAGAATTGATCATAATCCGTTCTTTATCGTAGTCTATTAATCGCAGGTTGGTATAACAGGTCAATGATATTAAACAATGCCAATTACGCTATTCAAAATTAATCACAGTTGATTACGAGTTTGAATCAAGTAATCTTGTATTTTGCAATGAATGATATACACTTAATCCCACTTATCATATGCAACAAACCTAACTTTTTTTTGTTTTTGTTTTGTTAACCTAACTTTATTTATTATCAAAGTGTTTAAAATATTAATATAAAATAATTGATACGTGAGTGTATTAGTAATTTTAAAAGTCCTTTGTTTAAAACTGAAAAAAAAAAATAGACAAAATATTACTAAGATTCAATTCAAATTATTAATAAAATTAGAAAATAATAAAAGAATAAAAATTATAATTTTTTCAATGTAAATAAAAATTATATTATAAAATGATAGAATAAATTTAAATGACACTTTTTTGATTGTTTCTATTTAAACAATTTACATTAAAATGTTAAACTATATAAGGAAACTGGCATACATAATACATGTTACCACTCTTTCTCCGGTGACGGGCCATAAAATTATATAGGGTTTTATTTTTCTCATGTTGAATGAGAATTATCTCATGCAACACACAAAAAAGTGAGTGGGACCTACTTTTTTTTTTTCTCTCTCTCTCTTTTAATGGGTCCCACCCACTTTTTGTGTGTTGCATGAGACAATTTGTCTCATGCAATATAAGAAAAATAAAACCCAATTATATAACGGGGGAAGAAAATTTATATTGCTATTATGAAAAGGTAATGTTAGTTTTGGTTGGATGATCGCGCTAAGAATATAAAAATATCTATTAATGATATACAAAAAAAAAATACCTATTAAGAAGAATTTAATAAAATTACAGAATTTTTTGCCAATTTTTTGGTTTGAATGTCAATTTTTTTGTTTTCGGTGACATTAGTCCAATACATTCTCTATTTCAATGAAGAACTAGCCTAAAGAACCTATATTTTGTTTGTAAGATCAATTTTTTATTGTTTACCTTCATGTCTTCTGGTGTTATAATTGCACTTTCTTTGATTTTTTTAGAATTTTATTTTCTCCCTTAGCTGTTATTTAGTGGAAGACACAGTAAATTAATTAATGTGTTATTTATTTTTAACATTTGGTCCCAACTAATAATTGATAATTATTACTGACCTTTTTTGTTTGCCAACAAAGTCAAAACTTAAATACTCTTTCTCCTGAGTTCTGACATGACAATATGTACAAATTTTTAATGATTATAAAAAATTTTAGATAATCTATTAATATAACATCAAATTCTAGACAAATTTGACAGGTAGAGTAAATATGCATTACTAACTGAACTTTTCTTTGTATACAAGCCAACTTTCCACATTGATTGAGGAGGGTAGCAGACCAAGAACAAAATCTGCCATATATACTGGCAGGTTGAATTTTTATATAAATAACATCGCTTGTATTTCACTTTTTAAAAGCACTTTCAAAATTTTACTTTTTTAGACCATGTTGTATATCATATTGTAGAACATATTTTCATATTTTAGAGAGGGCGCGGGCCCACCTTAACCCCCCATGTAGGTCTGCCTCTGTCTTTCTCCACGTATATAAATTAGTGAGATAAGTGTTTATCATTTAAAAAAATACAATTTTATATTATTTTAAATAAAACAATGTTATTTTAGCACATAATTATTGATTTTTTATAGTTCTTTTCTTTCTAATTTTATAGATAAAAGAGAATATACAAAATTATCAAATTTACATCAAAACAATATCATTTTATATGAAATGACATTATCATTTTTAAAATTAAAAACGTTTTTTCATAAACTCAAACCAAAGCCACCGGTTATGCTGCAAAGTTAAAATCAACTTGTATCAACCAAGGAATAAAGAACATTGTGATTGTGCACCTAAACAAAGTGGCAGAAGCAGAACCTCCCTCTCCAAAGTCCAAAGCAAAGATGAACGTTGACGCGACTATCAAGGAGAGTAGCGTGGTTGGGTTGGTGTGCAGAGATGATGTTAACACGTTGTAATAAAGATGTTCGCAGACGTTAGGGACCCCAGTTCTTTTGGTGTCAATCGCCACGAGTGAGGGCACCGTTGCCGAATGTACCATTAAACATCCACTCTTTCGAAGGAAGGTGACACCTGTTACATTATTACATCATTTCTCTATACTCCGAAGCAACCCCAATGCTTTCCGACATTTTTTTGGTTCAAATTAAATATTAACACCATTATATGTTAGTATATTATCACAAGAGAAGAGAAATATGACATGTCAAGGTGATATTAGAGATTCCTTCTATAAAATTGTCATGAATTTTTTTTGTTTTAACTTTCCATTCAAAGGTTAATATCCATAAAGGAAGATTTTTTTTGGAGTTACCCAACCCTAATTATTTCTTTGAGACGAGTTGGCTCCCCCGGTATTCCCACGAGCTTCGACTCTTTGAGCCGGTTATGGGACTAATCCGGAGTGCGGGGGAACAGTGATGGCTAAAGGTTCAGCCCCCTCCCCAAGAATGCATTCAACGGGAATCGAACACATATCCAACCCCACTAACTCAGCACCAAGGTACCAACTGAGCTGCACCCATTGGATTATTAAGAAAGATGAATATATATATATATATATTTATATCTTATCTATCACTTTCCAATGTTATTATTATACTCGAGTCTCAAGTAACGTTTATTATTTTTCTCTTCTCTTGAAATTTTGATTTAATGGTATTGAAGATTGATAGGTAAACTAGGCATAAAAAAAGATAGATAAAATGATATATTCCAAGAAAGAAATAGTTATATAAAATTTTATTATGAATAAAATATTTTTTCAGTCACGAAAAATAAATTATTTCTATTGATTTCCAAGAATATGTCATTTTGAATTAATGAAAGGTACACCCTTAATTAATTCAAAACAACATCATTTTAATAATATATTTATTCAAAACACTCTTCATTATATCTAAAATTATCGAGTGATCGGAGAAATACTTTTATCCAGAATTTTATCACAAGTATATTTCTCTTTTAACAAAGTCGTCGTTCTTTTTTGTTTTTGGAATTCCTTGGTAGGATTGTCAACGTGATTCTATGAAGAGCACATGTTATAGCCCAACATTGGAAGTGGGAGAACCTCATAGATAATGATCATTACTGCTTTGACGAACCTCCACAGGTTCTCTTGGCATCGAATGTACTTGTTGCCTGTGCTTTTAAATAAAATAATATTTCTACTTAGCAATTCAAATAATAATAATAAAAAAACCAAATAATTAAGGGTTCATTTTTTGTCATGTCACATAACAAAATTATTTTTTCTGCACACATAAATCAAGTGTGAATCCCACACTTAAAAAGAAAAAGTTAAACCAAAATCAGAAGGCACTGTAACCTCAAGATACGTCGCCGGATCTTTGTTGCAGGAAAGAATGATACTGTTCATGATTCTTATATTTTTCAATAATAAATATAAATTAACAGAAAAAAAATTTAGCAAAAAAGGAGAGGTGGAGTCCACAATGATTAGCATCAAATGCTTATTGGGATTCCCACTGTTGCTGAATTCCAAGATCCACAACCATCCATTATTATCTTTATTTATTTTTTTGAATTTTTATTTTTTAAAAAATAAACTGGATTTTCCTTTTTTCCCTTTCTCTGCTTCCCTATTGGTGGAAGCCTAAGCCATCTCTTGTCTCTCTCGAGAGAGGGGTGGAAGAGAGAGAGAGAGAGAGAGAGAGAGAGAGAATGTGTGAGTGTGTGTGTGTCACAAAGCAAAGCAAAGCGCAAACCCAGAAAGTAGCAAATGCCAAATGGTATTGCAGTAATAGCATTGTAGTGTAGTGAGAGAGAGAATAAAAAAGACACCACCCAACATCACAACCAACTAGGCCTGAGTCGGAAAGTTGCTACACAAAAGGTAACTCTCTCTCTCTCTCTCTCTACTCCCTGTTGTTGTGTTACGACACGTCTGATTTTGCTGTTATTAGGGCTTTTATCATTTTTCCTTTGCTTTGTAGCACCTTTGCTCCATAATTGACTCCTTTGAAGATGAAGTTTTCTTCTTTTTACTAGAAGCTGATTTGGGTTTTTGTGGCCTTTCACTTCAGGCTTCGTCTTGTGGGTTGTTCTCTACTTTTCTGTGCTCTTCATTTCTGAGCTAAAGTTTGGATTTTTGGAGGGTTTTGATCGTGGGGTTTCTGGTTGCTTAATCTGGGGTCTCAACAAATTCCCTTAATCAACTACTGTTGCTTGATATAGAGCTTTCTCTGGGTGTTTCAGCTATAATTCCGGGTGGTTATTTCATTACTATTTTTTCCTTTATGGAATCTGAATGATTTTGATCTTGGATGGATACCCTGAATTGGTGCAGACTTTTGTTATTGGTATTATTTATTTGAAAATGATTGTTGGTACTACTTGTGGCTTATGGTGATTTTGGGAAATCGTTAAATACAACTAGTAACGAGCGATAAGGATGGCAGCAGAGTCAAACCCTGGGTTTCACAATCAAGATATAGATTCCGCTTTGAATCGGCATGCAATATCATTTCAGCCTGGTACTATTAATAGCTTGTCCGAGATGGTTCCAATGGGTAATTATTTTGGGTTAAGTAGTACAACTGGGATGATATATTCTGGGAATTCAACCATCATTAACAGCAACCCTGTCATGAGTCAAGCTGGTAGTTCTTCTCTTCTTCTTGATTCAGTCCCAGGGCTGAAGCATGACACAGGGTTGGCTGTTGAGTGGTCTGTTGATGAACAGTATAAATTGGAGGAGGGCCTTGTCAAGTAAGTAGTTTTGTTCTCACTAGTTATTTTTAGCTCTTTTTTACTTAAATTTGGCATCTGTGTGTCACATTAGTCCTTAGTAACTTGTTTTCAATTTACTTTCTCATGAAAATAATTTTGGATCTTATATGATCAGAAATTTAAAATTTTATTTGGGATGAAGTCGTTTATGTCTTTGGACTAATCGTGCTGTCTGTCTGACTTATCATGAAGCATAACATCAATCATGGTGTCTGTCTTTGTATCCATGGACTACATGCTTTGTTTTTCTTATAATGACCTTCTCAGTTTCCAAATGTGATTTTCGAATTCCTACTTAAAATGGTACTAAGTATTCTTTTCTTTACTAACTGCTAACATTTGATTGGTCTTATGCTTTTCTCTTCTTCTAGAATTACTTCGGTTATAGTGCCTTTGCTAAAGTTGTCGTTGTACAGTATATTAATATGTGCTAATACTGATATTTCTTTCTCTTTCTATAGTGTATATTTCATAACTCTTGTTTTCATGATTCTTCTGTTTCATGATTAGCTATGCTGATGAGCCGAGTATCATGAGGTATATCAAAATTGCTGCCACGTTGCCTGATAAAACTGTTCGTGATGTTGCTTTGAGGTGTAGGTGGATGACAGTGAGTTCTTTTGCTTTCGACGATTTCTCCAATCTCCATATTGTAATGCTGCCTATGAATGAAACATATGCTGTACATAAGTACAAAAGACAAATTTAAATTCTTAATGCATTAAAATCACTTGAATATATTGCAATTAATTGCTTGAAAATTGGATTATCTATAGTGGAGCTTCCCCTTTCAAATGTATTCAAAATTTACTTTTCTTGTTTCCTGCCCCCTACTTCCTCCTATATTTTAGTTTTGGCATTGATGCAATGGCTCAAGTTTTGCATGGCTGTGTTGCTGAAGTTTTGTGCAAGTGCCGTTGGTATCAGTGGTTTATTTAAAGGCAATGTTTTAGATTTTGGTTGTAGTCATGGTAGCAGTTCCAGCAATTGCAGAAAAATGCACGAAAATAAAGCTGATGAAACTTTCAATTGGGCCAAAATATGGTTGCAGTGGCTGCAACAGAAATATTGTGGCTACAATTGCCACCGCAGATCACTATTTAGAACCCTATTTAAGGGTTATATTTCATCTCATGATCCAAAGTAGACTCTTAATAAAATTAACCAAGTTAATTTTCCTTGCCTTTTTTTCCCCCTTTTAAAGGTGGAAAAATGATTAGTGTCCTGCATATAGTTTTTTCCACGAAAAAGAAGATTATGCACTGTGTATATTGCATTAAGCAATGGACTTGGGTACTTATGTAGATTGTACCTTTACGTCTGTTAATGAAAGCTTAAAATACTGTTTAAACCTTTTGCAGAGAAAGCGAAGGAAACCAGAAGAACACAGTCTGGGAAAGAAGGTCAATAACAGAAAGGTATGTGAAAAATGGGAAGCTGGTGTACGTATACTATGTTTATGGTGGTACCAAAAGGGACGACTGAATTTATTATCAATGTGTCTCCAAAGGAAATTTAGAACAGAAAGCAACACTAAGCTACCCAGAGGGTTCCCCAATAAAAGCACTCCCCTCACCTGCCACTCAATTCATAAAAAACATGCATACCTCTCCCCAGCCCCATCCTACCTATTTATCACTAAACCACCTGATAACAAACTACCTAGTAACAGCAAACAGCAAACAAACTATATAATAATAAGTAATAACAAACTAAATTATCATTAACTAACTAAATCATTATATTATCCTAATAAGGAATAATAATAAACTACTTAGCCTTATCCTAATAACAAACTACTTAACCCCATCCTGACTATTATCCAACTCCTCTATAACAAACTCTTCTCCTGACTTGTTGGATCTCTCTGCATTGCCGTGATTGATCCCCTGCATTCTGGCCTGGTGTCTTTGTTGCCTCCTGCTGTATACTTGCTTTAAGGGCTCATCAGATTCTTATAATTTAGTGTTTGTTGAAGAATTGTCAAGTCAATCTTATGTAATTTTCACTGATTCTCTACTTGATGTTTTTAGTAGGCTTCTGAATTGAAACGTTTTCATAAAAAATTTGAAATATACTTCACCTGAGTTTGAAGATCTTTGAAAAAAAATTAAACTAAAGGAGAGTTCGTAGAATAAGAATTCTATTACTATATTGGTTGATTTAATTGGTGGATCCTATTGCTTTATTGGTTGATATAAACTAAATGACAATCGGTGGATCATATAACACCATTTGAGAATTTTCATAGTTATATTGTGAATTCTCTCTTTTCTCCTAACCTTTGCATTCTCCCTATTTTGATTAATGCCTAATATCCCCAATACTTACATATTATACCAAATGCCCACATATTTGCATGTGATTAGTTCAGTAAAATTCATTTACACTTCCCCTTAAATTTTTGCATTTTTTTGGATAGTGTGGTCAGGTGGTTATGGGTTAGCTTGCACACACTTTGACTTAACCACTTCCCTGGTCCAGTCAAAGGCAAGTCATCCATGTCGGGACTAGGGGATTCACAAGTATATTCATTTGCATCCTGGCCACAAGTGATTCTTAGTTAGGATTCGAACCTATAACTATGAATGACAATTCGTGTCAACAAATCGTGTTTGTATTGGGTAGGGGTCGGATGAATATTTTCTACACGAATAAAGATTCGTGTCAAAGCCTTTGACACAAACATGATCCGCGCCTATTTTGCAGATCGACATGACACAAATAACCTGTCAATCTCAAAGTGTGTTGCTTATGACACGACATGAAGAACCCATAAACCTCAAAGTGTCTCAGTAACCTTGAAGAAGATTTATGCGGGTTAGTGTCATGTTTGTGAGTTGACACTCAAGATGACACGAATTTGAAAATGAACACGAATTTCTAGTTTCACGTCAGCCACCAGTCTTGTTGAAAATTGTCATCTCTATCTATAACCTTTTGCCCACTTATACGTCAAATGCTTGTCCACCGCTAAACCAACTCCTTATGGTTAAAATTTTCACATTTTTGTTCTTTCTTTCTTCTATTATAGTCAAGGTCTTGCTATAGTGAAGCATTAAATACCCTTCATTAAGTCATCCTAATTACTTAAATAAAAAAGTATTAAATGCCTTCTGAAATCCCAAGATTTTAAACATTTCTACCTTTTATTTAATATTTTTTATTTTAAATCCTCAACCCATGCGCTAGGGTATTCGTTAGCAAATTCCTTATTATTATTATAATTGTTTTTGACCAAACAAGTATAGTGGTATGAAATCAGTTGCTTTGAGCCCTCTCAACCAGCTTAACTATCTTGTCAAGGATGTCAATGATAACTCAAGCGTTATGTTAAAACAAAATGTGCTTATGTTGCATCCCTTAAATGGGATTCTGGTTTTGATATATTGAATCAATTAATGTCTTTAGGATCTAATGTTGATTGAAGAACCAGTATTCTAAAGTCATACTTCTTCAGGATAAGCCAGTGGAGTCAGCATCAAAGACAAATTTGCATTCAGCTCTGCCCCCAAGTATGGCTGCATATTCTCGCATGTCACATCATATGGACCAAAGTCAGCGGATACTATATGATGGTCAGTATATCAATTGTTTTTTAAACATTTATAAATTATAACGTATGTTATCATCATTTTCTCTTGTTGCAACTACATTATTTCTTATTTATAAATTTTCTGCTCAGTTACTACTGAAATTTAGAGCTCTTGACTGGCAGTCTTAAGAATCTATATGTAAACACTTTTCATTGCTGAGAGAGAAAATATTTTCTATTTTAAATCATCTGTTTTTTGTAATTATACTGTGAATACAATCTTTCAAACTGATTTTATTGTTTTTTAATTTTTGAAAACGAAAACCTGTTTTGTAAAACAGTTCTAAACATGCTCTTAAACTCTAATTTCTCAAATTCTTTATAATTAAACCCGAGTCCAGCAATTATGATCTCTAAAATCCCAAAATACAAATACATCAATATTAAATACAAGCCCATGGAGCAGTATCCAATGCCCAACAAATTGTTGTGACATCAGTTTGATCCCTAAATCCAAGTCTACTCCTCATCATACCCGCTGGCAAGACAGCTTCCTACTATCTATGCAAAAGAAAAAAATAATAATTATCATAAATATTACACGTTCTTCATCAGTTGTGTATCTTTTGTTTGGTTATCTAAGCCCTTTGGATTATAATGTAATCTTAAAATCACCCCCCCCCCCCCTTTGCTTTTGTTGTCTCTTTTTTTGTCACTGGAACCCGTGTGGCCAGTGTTATTAAAACCGGCCCGGCCCGGCCGGTCGGACCGGTTGGCCCGGAAACCGGCCCATCAACCGGTCCGGTTTCAATATTGGACCGTTTAAGCATTTGACCCGGTATCAACCCGGTGACCCGGTCATAAACCGCGGTTGAACCGGTGTAAACCGGTACCGGTTTTACCTTTAAACCGGTTTTTTAAAATAAGTTACAAAATATTCCAATTTTTGCGCCAGGTGGGAATCGAACCCGACCCTTTGATGTGAGGAGCGCACCTTCAAACCACTACACTATCATTACCTGTTGAATATAATACACCATTTAATATACTTATTATATAACTATTAAGTTAATAGAATTATTTCAAAAATTGCATCTAAGAGGAATCGAACCCCTTACATTGAGGATAGGCAATATAGTAATTACCACTAGACTACATCAGGTTATTGTTTGAATTGCACCATTTAAAATATTTATTATATAATTAAGTATAAAATATAAATTTATATATATATACCCGGTTCATGCGGTTCAACCAGTGACCCACCGGTTGAACCATTGACCCAGTGACCCGATACCTCGACCGGGTCAATGACCGGTCCGGTTCTAATAACATTGCGTGTGGCCGTGTCCTTATTTCATCAAATACTTTCTTCGGTGTGTGTATGATCAGGAATTTGTGGTCCTGTGAAGCAACTAATGGAGCAGAATGCTCAAGCTTTTAGTCAAATCACTGCCAATTTATCTGCTTACAAGGTAAATAACTCAACCTTCATATGTTTCACTGCTGTTTTATAAATACTGATGCAACTGATTATTTTAGGCCCTTCGCAAATAAGGAAAATCTGAAACCATTTTTAACAAATGGCTGAAATATTAGCTATATTCGGCATCTCACCTGCCTAGATTTTTTCATGGATGATTAATTCATATCATGTTTAGGAAGATAAAATTGTTAGAAATGGAAGAAAGGTATCACATTCACATATGGAATTGAAAGGTAAGCTGTTGTGTCGCTGGACTCAAGGTTTGAAATGCCATTTAAGATGATGATTGAATTGTCTTTGTCTAATTGCTTAAGTTAAACTTCTTAATGAATGGAATTACTCGATGCTTTGTTGAATTTCAAGATTTGCCTCTTTGATTATTGTGTGCAAGTATTGCATTGATTTCTCAATATCATTTGTTAACTAGGTTCTCCATTCAGTTCATTTTACTCTGCATAGTATGATTTGAAAGAATTGTAATTCCGACTTGGACTGTGTGTTCAAACCACCTGAGCCATGAATTTTTTCCCCTATAGCAGCATGGTTCTAATTTATAACAGCAGTCTGGTAAGTTTCAGTCTGTTAGAACTTATCAGGGGGGAAATAAAATTAATGTTTAACATTTAATGATCACCTGAATTGAGCATCGATTTGTTGGCAAATGGCTTTATGCTTTTTGATTTTTTCCCCTTTTATTATCTATCTTCTTTTTGTGCGTTCTCATGTTGTCATCATAATTCCTTCATACATAATTATATATAGATAGTATTTGGTCTCTAAGCTGTGATAATGACATGTTCTTTAATAAACAGTTGCAGGATAACATCGACCTCTTTTGCCATGCAAGGCACAATATCAGTACCATTCTTAACGAGTATGTGATCTGTTGAATAAGTTTACTGTTAATATCATGCAAATTCATTTTTCTGTATATTTGGATTTGATGTCTATTAACTTTTGAAGTTCACTAATTTTGTGCAGCATGAGAGAGATGCCTGGCATTATGAGCCAAATGCCACCACTGCCTGTTTCCATTAACGAGGATCTTGCAATTAGTATTTTACCTAATAGAACATAGGTAAGCTCATGGTCAACTTAACTATTTTCTTGTATTCCTTTTTTTTTTTTAGTTGTACAATCATGCTTCTGTGTGTATTGTGTGTGCAAGCACATGAATAATTGACATTCATTGTCCACAGGAAAATAGCGAATCAAAACAAGCTATTTAGTAAGGAAAAAGAACCAAACCACTACTATATGATTCAAATAAACTGATTTAACCTAGTTGGTTTGGAAATTTGAAGGCATGGTAGCTGTGACTTCTCTTTTTGCTACCAAATAAGTTGAAATCAATGAAGTTTTTTAATATGGAACTATTCAAGTGCATTTATATTTGGCTGCATGTTAGTATGACCTAATAATCAGAGCTTGTTTAACTGGACATGCTGTCACTGCTAATAGTCAAAGCATCATTCTTGATGATGACCTCTTGTCCTCTTGTAATTCTCTGTTTTTAAAAATGATTAGCATATTCATTATACATTTTGGCTGTATACCTTGCACCAAACCTTTAAAGCTGGTTATCTTAAAAAGCACGAATGTTAGGTCATATTTGTCAATTGTAGAATATCAAATATAAAAGTTGATTGGTTTATTATGTATTACCAATTCAAGGGGGCAAAGTGCTGTCTCCATCAACATTGCCTACACAAATCAAAGTGCATCAGTGTAGAGAGGTTCTCATTTTTATGTGCTACACAAGTCTTTGCTGCAAGTTTTTTGGTACTACATGCGATTGAGGAGCCAGTGAGTAACTGATATCTACACAATCTCAGGAGTTTCCACAGATTCTAGTCCATCTTTGATCTTACTGCTCCCTGGTTTATTCATTTTATTTGAAGGAAAACCTGAAACTCCTGTTGTATAAATAAAAAAACATTTTCCTCGCAAAAAAAAAAAAAAAATGAAAATAGGAAAGCAATTAATATAACAATGGTTTGATGAGCTGAATGCACCTTTATTGATTTCAGAGTATTACCATGCCATAGGAACTGTTGTATATCTATGATGCTAGTTTGCCATGTACTTCAAGCTTGAGTGATGATTATGTTTAACGGTTGATAGCTTTTATATAATATGTAAAGGCAAATCCTATTTACATGATTTCTTGATTGTATGTACATGAAGGAATCAACATAGATTATTGTTTATTGGTTATTTCCCCATAGTTAAGAGGTTAATCCCCAATAAATTGTACCCCCCCAAAAAAATAAAAAATATCCCCAGTAAGTTACAACTATTAGAAGTTACTGTACATACACACTGTACTACAAACAAGTAGTTAGGAACCTACTAAACTACTCTTCTTCTAAGAATACCTGTTTGCAAGTAGATTATTATATTTAACAATGGGAAATATAAGAATCATGTTGCAGGAATGATACTGTTCATTCCTGCAACAAGAATCCGGCAACGTATCTTGAAGATACGGCGCCGTATCTTGATTTTAGTTTGACTTTTTTTCAAGCGTGGGACCCACACTTGATTTGTGTGTGCAGAAAAATGATCTTGTCATGTGATATGACAAAAAGCGAATTATTTAACAATTGCCATGGTTATTTATGTGCGCTAGCAACCATACATATGGGGCCTTCAATCCTTCATTGAAGCAGTTATTGAAAAAGTTGTTTATTAAATAGTTTTGTAGCATGACAAACCCTTGAAATGTGTAACTCACTATAGGATCCTTTATTCAATTCAATTGCTTGTGGCCAAGGAAAACATATAATATAACCACTTGGAAACTAATCCAAGGCAGCACCTCAAATATAATATCCCAAAAAAATGTTATTAAAGCAGTTATAAAACCACCATCTTTACCTACGACACTGTAATGGAAAATCGAGTTGTAGATTCAATTTCGTCGTTTCATCCTTAAATATTAGTTAAATGATTCATTTGCGTTGTGACACGCCTCTCAAAGAAAGAGGAAAGCAGTATTGGCAGTGACTAATTACATTTATTTGCATCTTTACATGAAAGGATATCGTACTTTACTTCACGTGTCGTCGTGTCCCGCGGATATTCAAAGTTCAAAGTAATAGAGAGATATATATATTCAATCAATAATTGTAATGAAACAATTTATATAAAATGCATAAAGTAAGTCACAATTGGAAATCAAAGCCAAAAAGAGAAAGGCAAAAATTGGAAAATCCAAGAACAGTTGCGTGCAATGAATATGAAATAAGTTAGTCAAGTTATTGGAAACGGATGGCTGAGTGTTGTTGACGAACGATAGAGCTTCAGCATCCAAGTAGGGGCAGACCTACATGGGGCTAGGATGAGCCCCTGCTCCCCTCTTAAATATGAAAATATGTTTTATTATATGTATGCAACATGGTATGGAAAAGAAAATTTTCAAAAGTGCTTTTAAAAAGTGAAAAACAAGCGATGATATTCATAAGAAACGTGTTCTTCCCGTTCATTGCACTCAATTAGAGATAACTATTATTTATCATATTCAACTTGTCAACATATATAGCAGGTTTTGTTCTTGGTCTGCTACCCTCCAATCAATGTGAAAAGCTGATTTTTCCATTTTATACAAAGAAGAGTTAATGAATATTCACTCTAGTCAAATTTGTCTAGAATTTGATTTTATATTGATTGATTATCTAATTTTCTTTTTATAATCATTAAAAATTTGTACAGAGATTGTCATATCAGAACTCAGGAGAAGAATATTTAAGTTTTGACTTTGCTGGTCAAGAAAAAGGTCAGTTTGAAAATAAATAACACATTAATTAATTTACTGTTTGTGCTAAATAATAGCTAAGTGAGAAAATAAGATTCTTAAGAAATAAAAAAGTGCAATTATAACACCAGAAGGCATGAAGGTAAACAATAAAAAATTGATCTTACAAACAAAATATAAGGTCTCTAGGCTAGTTCCTCATTAAAATAAAGGGTGCATTGGACCACTGTTATCGGAAGAAAAAAATTGACATTCTAACCAAAAAATTGGCAAACTTTTTCGTAATTTTATTAGGTTATTCTTAATAGGTATTTTATATTCTTAGCGTGATCATCCAATCAAAATTAGCATTGCCTTTTTATAATAATAATATAAATTTTTGCCCCTCGTCATATAGTTTCCTTAGTCCGTCGTTGCATCCAAGTAAAACAAAAAACTAAAATACAGAGGGTTCGAGTCGAAGGATTAGCTAACGGGTCATCGGATTCCGAATCATGAAACCCAAGACTCGAACCAAAGATAGGTTTCATTGGTTTGGGTGTGGACTCGACAATATAAACCAAGTGTTCGTATAGTTGGCCAAAACCGATAAACACCTCTACTTAAGTCAGTATCAAGCTATCATTCAACTTTTTGAACAGGCTATAATACTATAACTCTTTTCTATAGATATATTTAATAGAAATTGAATTTAGATTCTCTTCTCAACTACTAAGCCCATATTGTCAACTGAGCTACATTTAGCAGAAAAACCTTTTATTTCATTATATATTGATAGATTATATATGATCACTGGGTCACTATTGTCTCCCACTTTAACCATTTGAATGCTATAGTTGAGGTAATAAACATTCAAAACAAGAATAATTCCTTGCTATTTAGAACCTTAGAATTTTTCTTAGCATGAAAAAACTTAAGTGTTTCTATTCTTTTCTTTATCATTTAACACGATATTGGTTCCCAAATCCCAATACACCTCAATTTTATAATTGAGAATCAAATAATTTATATAGTGAAAAGTTTTAAAAAGATTTCATATATATTCTTTTGGGAAAAATACTCCTTTCATAGAAAAAGTCATCTTAGGCCACACTCAATTCATTTTGCATGCCATTTCTCTTCCTTTTTTATTTTTTTAATTGAAGGTGGGACCCACCTTATTTTGAGTCAGCTGCAAAGTTGAAACTTCTCTGGTGAGAGCAAAAGCTCAAAGCCCATATTTTTTTGGGTTTAAGTTTTGTTATGTTGTAGGATTGTAGGAGAGAACAAAAGTAGAGATAAGTTAAATGTAGGTCCCATATTTTATATTAAAAAAGAAAAGAAAAATTAATTAGCACGGAAAACGAATTTGTGTAGGAAAATGATGTAATCTCATGTGGCATGAGAGTATTATTTCCCTATTTTTTTATATAGAATTGGTTCATGAATCAATTCATTTTATTTTTTTTACTAATTGAAAAAAAATTGATTTGTGCCCAGTCCATTTGGCTAATCCGGTCAGTTCTGAAATCTCGTGCCTAAAAGGAAAACAAAAAAGGATTAAAGGAAATTGCCCAGTTTGGTATTTGAGCCAATCGAATGAAAATCTTGCCCAATATAAGAATCAAAATCTCGTCATGCAGAAACGAATTGTCGCCGGCTAATGTCACGTATCTTGACCCAATCTAAGAATCACAATCTTTATAATTTGTAATTGCTTTGAAGTCTATACTTTTAAAAATTAGCCTCAATCAAAATATATTTTGTTATGATTTTAACAAATTAAACATATTAAGATCTATGCTCTGGTTAGATAGAGGTATTGATTAACTACTATTATGTGATCTCACTTAACTTTGTGAATATATACATCTAGTTTAGGTTACAGCTTCTCAAACATACATTCTTTACCTTTTCCACAGGAGTAATGATATAAGTACCATACAATATATGTGTTGGGTACGACATAGTTTGCATTCACATTACGACTCTCCTGGTATTATTGTGAGTTTTTTTTTTTTTTTTTTGTCTTAATAATTTGGGTTTGGACTCACAAATAGCTATTGTTGTTTAGAGTGACTAATTCTATTTATATTTTTCTTATAAATTAAGTGTCTTAACGAGTGCAATAAGGAGAATATAGTGTATATTGCTGGACGTAGCCTTGAACTAGGGTAAATCTGTGTATCCACTTTTCTTTTCTTTCTCTCTTTTCTGATTATGATTGTGTGTGTGATTGTGTCGATTTCAACAGCATGTAACATGCCATTAAGAAAAAAAAAAAAATGATAATTACATACACAATAAGGCCGGGGGAGCAAGAAACCATAGTATTGTTTATCAACCATTTCGGCAGATGCAATAAACGAAATGAAGACAAATCAGAAGATAATATGCCATTAAGACAGCAACAAATTTCGCAGAACAATGGGGATTTTATAAATTGTAAGACACATCAACTACTCCAAGTTATCTTGCTACTATATGCAACACTTTGCTTGGAATATCCTGTTTGATAGTGTTGTTTTTGTCGATTCTCTAATAGTCAAAAGTGTAAATAAACCTAGTATCGATTATATATTGTAAACAAACCTAAAATTTCCGAGTGTATATCATTTTCCTTCGTGGTAACTCGATGCTAATGCTAACTAAAAGGACTATTTCCACCGTTGAATCAGTTTTTTTATGTGTCATGAAGAAAGTCAAAAGGTGTGGGTTGGAATCCTCTTTCGTTCTTATTTGCCAACTTCCCTTGCTGTGACCATTTCACAATATTTTGGCTATTCATTCAAGACATGGCCAATGAGGGAGTTAAAATCTCTATTTATCTGACATTTGTCATGGTCTAAATAGTCCTGTTTGTCCTTAGTGATTGTCCATATGAGGACTCTACGTAGCACTTTGCATCCATTCTCCAATCCAACAATATAAATGCAATTGCTAACTCAATTTCCAACATGTTATCCTCTACTTCTCCAGCTTTCCACATACAACTAGGTACAACAATGATCGACTCAAACCCACCACTCTTGCACCGTTATGGAGCACTTGTGAGAAATCTTGCTGAACCCCAACAGGCTAAAAGTTTTAATGATCAAAATCATCCTCTAGTGGATGCATGTGAACTGCCATTGATAGACCTTAATGGTCTTAAAAGTTCTAATGAAAGTGAAAGAATAGCTTGCACTGCTGCAATATGCAGGGCAGCATCAGAATGGGGATTTTTCCAAGTAGTAAACCATGGCATAAATCCTGAACTACTAAGAAATATGAGAGAAGAGCAAGTGAAGTTGTTTGGAGTACCATTTGAGAAGAAGCTTCTAAATAACCCATACAGGTGGGGGACAACAACAGCTACTCGTTCAAATCAGTTCTCGTGGTCAGAAGCTTTCCACATTCCTCTCAACATGATTTCAGAAGCAGATAGTTGGGGTGAATTCAGTTCTTTAAGGTATCTATTCTCGGTCTTAGCTTTGAGTTTTGACATTGTTCACTTAGTTGAAATCATTCTCTTACTACGTGCCTTTGATAACAATTCTACAGCATGAAGACAGAATAAATACAAAGATAAATGAATGCAGAACAAAGACAAAAGTGTCATCGATGTGTCTTAGGTTGGTGAGAGTCACCACTCTCTTTCGAGGTGTTAAAAAGCATATTTATGCGCACAAGGTCCCTTCCGGAGATTGCTTAATCTCAGGGTTGAATCATCCAAGCCGCTTCACTTATCCGTATCCTGATTTGTAGACATGGAACTAACCAAGTAGATATAAAACCTCATGATTATATATTACACTTGGCTTTCCTTACAAGAGATAACTACTCTCCTTATATATATATATATGGGGCAGGATATTCTTACACCAGTGTAAGAGTTAGAAGTCTTACACTCAATCTTGACCATTGATTTACTTGTATTCAATGGCTCACATTACTAAAAAAATTTAACCCTTAGATATAAGTTGGATCAATGGACAAGATTGAGAGTGTAACTTACACTGGTGTAAAATGATCCTGACCCTATATATATATATATATATATATATATATATATATATATATATATATATATATATATATATTTTGAGTTAACCTAATCCTAATTACCTCTTTGAGGCGAGTTGGCTCCTCTCAAGTATCCCCATAAGCTTAGACTTTTTGAGCCAGCTACGAGACTAATTCAGAGTGAAGAGCGAGTTAAGAAATAAAGATATTTAAAGTTTTAAACCCCCCAAAGGTGGCATGTGGATATCAAACCGAGACCCTTTCCTTTTTACTTACTTAGTTTCCTTACTACCAACTGAGCTACTACTATTTGGTCTTGTATTTATTATTTTAATTTCCGCTTGACACACAATCTCTCCCTGTAGCATTCATATAAGTAAACTTTAGAAGATAGGTTCGTGTAGGTTTTCGAACTATAGGAATATTAGAATAATTTGCTCTTTTTATTCATTGTATTATGAATTTTTTTTTTTTTTTGATACATGAGAAAGGCTACACACACCACCTAACACAATTGTCCACACCCCTTACCACTAGGTTAACCCTTAAATAAAAAGCATTCTATAGTTGTCAATTTATGAATTTATGTGGCTTTTGCATTATGAATTTATGATAGTACTGACTTTAGGAGAACTGAAATAAGAGCCAATTTAAATAGTTATATAGTTGTCTGGAATCAACCTGCTCCTGATGACAAAGGACAATTATGTTGCACATGCATGATTTCACCCTTATAACTTCAAGTGATTTGTTTCTAACTGATTTGCAGGGAAGCAATAAATGAGTTTGCACCAGCTATGTTAGAAGTATCTAGGTTATTGGCAAGCATTCTAGCAGAAAATATGGGACACCCAAAGGATGCAGTTGAAAAACTGTGTGATGCTAGCACAAGCTTTCTGCGGTTAAATCACTATCCATCCTGCCCAAAATATAAAGAAGAAATTTTTGGATTAGTGCCTCACACTGACAGTGATTTCCTTACTATCCTACATCAAGATGAAGTTGGTGGACTCCAACTCATGAAAGATTCCAAATGGGTCGCTGTAAAACCAAATCCAGATGCTCTAATTGTTAACATCGGGGACCTTTTCCAGGTAAAAGTTAGTTTTGCATGTTACTACAGCCACAGAAAATTAATAAGGTATTATTGAAGCAAATTAGCTGTCATTTCACTATGAATGTACCATTTCTAACATCTAGAGGAGAAAATATGTTGTAGTACCAAAAAGAATTTTCAAAATCAGGAGTTATTATGCTTAAACTAATAATCATAAGGACGCAAGCCAACTTTTTATCAAAGAATCGAAATATGTTAGGTACACCTGTCGCACCACTGACTCGGTGCAACGGGTCAATCAAAATGAGAAATTTTTTGTGACGTGTATGGAAAAGAGAGATTTTTATTTTTTTAATTCAAGTGTCAATTTTTGAATGGAAGTCGTAGGTATACCGAGTGTACCAAAAATGCTCTCCAAAAGGAACATATTCTATCATAGGCAAATGAGTCAACGAATCAAGATGCCGAACTTTGTAGAGAATAAAATGGTTATTTGTCGCACCCTTCAACTAAAACTACGGCGCTTTCGAAGGCAACAAATGAAATATGAAAAAAAACTAAAGAAACATCTCCATTTTATTCTTCTTAGCCCTAGTCTCAGTCACTACTATAACAAAATAGTAGAGTGACGGACAGAATGACTATTGCAGCATCCATTATTGACATAATCCTATTACCAAATACGCATGCATGATCACATCAATTTGCTACTATAGAAAGAATTATTAAATCGTCGGTTACATATCAATGGTTCATTTACTAACAAGGTTTGGGAAACCCAAATAATACAGGCCTGGAGTAATGATGAGTACAAAAGCGTGGAGCACAAGGTCGTGGCAAATGACAAAATTGAAAGATACTCCATAGCATACTTCCTATGCCCTTCTTACAGTACCATGATCAATGGCTGCAAAGAACCTTCTGTATATAGGAAGTTCACGTTTGGAGAATACCGACACCAAATTCAAGAAGATGTCAAGAAAATAGGACACAAAATTGGACTATCAAGATTTCTACATTAAAATGCATACACACTGATATTGGATAAAGCATTAAATATTATTCATCTGGAGGGATTATTATTATAATGCCATCGTAGCAATAAAGAAAGTGGCAGTTCCAATATTCTTTATTTCTAAATATAGTTTTTCGGTTCAGATTCAATATGTAAGAGTAAAGTAAAAGATAAACAACAAAAATGAAGATAGCTTACGATGCAACCAGCAACCCACTTAGAAGCACCATAAAAAAAAGGCTTTTCTTTCCGCATTGGAGTTTTCTCCTTTCCCTTTTGCTATTATTATGATTTTAGCTTCAATGGCAAAAAAGGGGGGAAAAATCTCTTAAACATGTATTGATGAACGTTCAACCAACTAGTGATGGTCATATATTGTCCACACAAAATGAAGTTATCCAACATATGAACTTGTCACAAGGTTCCTCAAAAACACAAAGGTTATTCAATATGGTCAAGCTAACTGAAGAACAAGAGACATGTAACTAGATCACTAAAATGGTACCTTTATAACATAACTCAGGCAATTGGAGAGCATTCAGGATCCTTTCGCACCTAAAATATCCAGCAGAATGAAGAAGGATATCCAGCAGAATGTTTGAGCCTGTGATGTGTGCCAAAAATATCAGACCTTATCCTTTGCCCATTCACATTAATATTTGGTCTGATACTTCCAAGGACTTTCCTAAGGCTCAAGGCAAAGACAGTATACTAGTAGTGGTGGATAGACCCACCAAGTATGCTCATTTTATACCACTCAGCCACCCTTTTACTGCATGTGATGTAGCAGAAGTTTTCCTAATGGAGGTGGTCCAGTTACACAGGTTTCCAGCCATGATTGTATCATAGAGAGACAACAAGATATTCCTTAGTCATTTCTGGACTGAGCTATTCAGAATGGCTAGAAAAAGCTTAAATTTAGCTCAGCATACCATCTAGAGTCAGATGGCCAAATTGAGGTAGTGAATAGGTGTTTGGAAACTTATTTGCACTGTGAGATAAGAAGCAAACCCAAACAGTGGCTAAAGTGGTTATGCTGGGCAGAGTTTTGATTTAATACCAATTATAGTATGATGGAACCAGAAAAATAACACTGAAATTATAGAGATAATGGAGGCCATGCCTCTTTTTCATACACTAATATGCAGAAAATAAACCCCAAGAAATCTCAATTCCCCCTCAAACCAACAGACCTAGGCTCAAGAGTTTTCTAGAGGTCTCCCAATTTCCCCACTAAACCAATACTGAATTAATGCATATCCACACTATACATACTGCCTACCTTTTATCCTATACTTTAGGAATATTCTAGAATAGTTTCCATAACAAACTAACTAACTCAGGCCCATTCTAATTAACTCAGGTCCATCATAGTAGCTCCACGCAGCTCCCTCCTTTCAAATCCTTAGATGGCCTAGACCAACTCCATTACTTAAAATGTAAAGGCACAACAGTTCCCTCTATGGTTGAGGAGGTTAATCAGCTGACTGCTGAACACGAGATAGTTTACTAGGAGAAATTGAGGGCTAATCTTCTTAAAGCCCAGGATCCAAACTGACAAGCATCGCAGGGAGGTCCATCATCAGGTTGGAGAATGCGTTTTCCTTAACCTGCAGCCTAATACACTAAAGTCATTTGCTAAGAATGTGAATGAAAAGCTGAGTCCACACTTTTATGGCCATTCTAGATTGTACAGAAAGTAGGACAGGTGGCTTATAAGCTTCAGTTACCCCCTCACAGTCTTCCACGTTTCCCTTTTGAAGAAGGCTATTTCTCCTCAACTGACTTCCCAATCCCTGCTTCCTTTGCTGTCGGAAAACTTGGAATTGCAGGTCCAACCTGCTCTTGCCTTAGCTGTTCATAATCATCCTTTGAGAGTTCCAGAAGTTCTAATGTTAGCAGTAGACCCCAATTAGGATAGTCAATGTTAGAAGAGATAAAGACAGGCCCAATGAACAAATAGGCCAGCCACAATCAGTTAAAAGTAATTCAATTAGTAAAGTAGTTAGAATTAGTAACTGATAGCAGTTAGACCTTTAACTGAATGGTCAGAAGCAGGTTATAAGGAGGGAGGGGATGGCATGGGAGTTCCGTTTTGGAGACAATTTTAGAGGGAGAGACCGGCCTCTCGAATTCCTTAGACAACGTACTCTGTACACTATTCTTTCTCTTCTTGAATCTGGATTCTCCACCAATCTAGACTAGAGAAGACACTCCTAGTGAAATTCTGTTTTGTCCCCCCCACTTTTTTCTTCCTCTATTTATGGTCCAGTTCTATTATAGGGTTTCTTCTTCTTTTCGTAGGTTCTTGATACCATATTGGTAAGTTGTTTAATCAGAAAGTTGCCCATCCAAATAGATAGGTAGTAGTTATATACTGCGTGATAGGTTTACAATATAGATGGACCATGGGCCTATAGCTAACAGACTCGCCCAGAACACGTAAGTATAACATAATGTTGAGATATATAAAACCATTAATGTAACCTCACCCAACAGCTTAAGCTTTTGGGTTGAATTGGTTCTTTACACATAACATATATCTTGACAATCATAATGTACCTTGGAATCTTCACAACAGCGGAAACTAATAACCTTTTTCTTTATGATATGTCAATGAAATATCCCACACTGTTGTGTAAAGAAGAGCTTTCTCAACCCTCCCCACTCCCCTGGCAACAGGTGATTGACATTCAATTTCATTGTAACAGAATTTGATCTATAAAGAACTATACACACCTACTATAACATTATCACTGATGAACTTTTAGGATGAGACTGCAATTATCAAATCATTTACAGGTGAAGCTATTACCATACGTCATGCAAGAATCTACAATTTGCCATGACATGCATATTAGTGTTGATGAATCTACATATCTTAGTCAAGAAACATTGCCACCTTGTCTTTCAAAGTGTTTCTTTTCTTCATCAAGGGGACCATTTCTTCTCCAACATTTTCATCTTGACTTAGCCTATTGAACTCATGGGTAATCTCTAAACTTTCTACAGTAGATTTTCTCTTTTCCTCCTTCTCAAGGGTTTTCCTCAGCAAGGGACCCAAGAACAGGTCCAGCATGTCTTGAGCAGGATGACCTGTTTGAGAGGAACTTGTAGCAATTAATTCACCAGTTGTTGTTGGAGTAGAACTATATAAAGCTTCCCTTCTAGAACTAGATGATTTTTTGTTTTCACAAGGGGAATCAAGGGTAGTTCCTGCTTCAGTTATAGCTGGAAATTGCCATTTTGATTTGCACTGTCTCCCTGATGTTTCTTGTTGCTCCGTGTTCTCATAATCTCTGACATACTGCATGCACAAGACAAAAGTTCAAATGTTCAAGCAGAGGTAGGGTGAATATAAACCCCACCATAAACTTTGTCTTAGGAGGCTATATCTTAAATCCACTCAATCATATGATGATAGATAGAAATGGTAAACATACTTCTATTCAGATTACTCAAGCAAAAGCAAAAGCTATTTTTTTCTCCTTCAGTCTTAACAGAAAAGAAAATGACCTGTTCTGCTATGGCCATTAAATCTTCAATTGTCAGGTCAACATCATCAAGACTAGATGCTTGATCTGGATGTACATCATAACTACCATGGCTGAGATCCTCTAAATTTTGGCCTTTCTTTATAGAAGATCTCTGAACTCTACCGCTGGACCTATCGCCTTTCTTCTTCATCTTCTTCTTTTGAGAAATATCATTGCTGTTTCCACCCTGTTGGCCTAAATTTCTTTTTCCCTTAACTTCACAATTTGCATTTAAATTCGATTTCCTCTTTGAAGTTTCCTTCTTGGGATCTTTCTTTGTAGCATTTGCTGCAATGATGTCTCCTTTTTCCATATAGCAATTAGATTCAACAACATTGCCAGTGTTACTTACATGGCTGGCACCAACCTTCTGCATCATCCATGGTGGTAATTGACGTTTACTTCCCTCAACACAATTATGCATTCCTATTAATAATATCAAACACTTATTAAGTTACACTCAAGCAGAAAAAATACAAAAAGTTGAAATCATCTTCACAGTTAACAACAAATTTTCTATTACACTACAAGGAGGGTGATTTCATTTTAACAGTTGGGATAAATAAAAAGTAAGCAAATTTAGCCATGGACCTTGTGCAAAATAGTATAAGAACTTCAATTAAGGATACAATTAGGATTTCACGAAATAGGGTTATATGTTAAGTTTCGGAAAAGAGAAAGCAAATCCCAGATTTGTCTAAACCGCAATAAGCCTAAAGACTAAAAAAGAGAGAAACTTGAGTTCATACCTAGAATTGTTAATTTCTAATCCACAAGAGATGCAGGGCGAAGAGGTGTCAATTGAAATCACACAATTGGTAAACTGGTTTTTGATGAATTTTTCTGCAGATTACTTTTTGGGTTAGAAAAAACGGATAACAATAAATTGAAAAAATTTCATTCTAGAAAGAAAATTACTTGTTTTATGACATTCAAATTCAAATTCAAAAAAAAAGACAAAAAATTAGTGAATAGTATACGTATAAGTATTAGGCCTTTTTATTTTTATTTTTTCTATTTTGACCAAGGGAATGAGGATAAATTATAATAATAATCTTTTTAACACGTTTTATATTTTATTTTTATTTAATTTTAAAAAAATCATTAGTGTAGTATTTAATTATCAGTTTGTTTGATGGGGAATGATATTGTAACAATCAAGTTGTGTTACTATCATATTACTACCGATCAATATCACCGTTAGATCGATTATGTTGATCCAACGATTATATTTATTTTCATCTTTGTATGGTCATTATTTCTCAAATTTAATACTTTATATTTATTTCTACCTTTGTATGGTTATGATTCCCCATATTTATAAAGTATTAAATTTGGGAAATCATGACCATACAAAGATGAAAATAAATATAACCGTTGGATCAACATAATCGATCTAACAGTGAGATTGATTGATAGTAAATAGTAACTTAGTAGTAACACAATTTGGTTGTTACAATATCATTTCCCTTGTTTGATTTGTTCTTATTTTAAACTAATTAAAAAATTAGAAAAAAAATTCACAAGTTTTAATTCCATGAAAAACTCATAAAATAAAGGTAGAATAAAACTTTCAGGATAAGAATTAACGAGATAGAACAAAAATCAAATAGTAATTTTTTTATTCCATACCCTACTTATCTCTTAGGTGCTGGAGGATATATTAATTCCGAGTATCAACATGTCAAAGTTTGATTCTGGTTAAGTATTAACGGCATGTATAAAAAAATAAACACATTGTTATCAAAAAAAAAAAAAAAAAAATAAACACATTCCCAGGTATATGAATATGAATATTTAGCCCTCAAATTTAATGGAATTTGTGCAAATAGTGTAACTTGTGTAAGCACTTCAGTTGAACTAAAATTGGGGTTGTTCACAACTAAGATCGTTAAAATTTTCGAAAATGACAAAGCCAATCCCAGATTTGGTCAAAACTGAAAAGACGAAACTTCGGTTTCATAACAAGAATTGTTAAGGTCCAGATTCAACACCAAATCCAGCGTTAGCTGCTAGGGATCTCAAAAAAGGAAGAGATGCATGACAAAGAACAGGTCGATTTCTTTTTGCAAATAATTTGTTTATGCAATTTTGGATCAGAAATAAGAGATATATTATTCTATTTTTTTTTATTTTTTTTTACCTACCTTACTTATCTTCTATACTCATATCATTATATCATAATCTCAAGATCCAATGATATTAAAAATGAATATATAAGATAGTCAAGAATAAAAGGTACGTAAAATATCTTATCTCAAGTTATTTTAGAATTCAAACTAAATTAAAATCACATAATTAGTTTTTGATGAATTTTTCTACTAATTACTTTTCTACTAATTACCCTACCCTTAGTTAACTGCATATTTTAATCACAGTTTTTTTTTTTTTAATTTCTAAGGGTATTTCACATTACAAATTTATTAACCATATATCTTACAAATTTAATCACTTACATAAGGTCATAAAATTAATTATTTATCCAACTATATTAACTACAATTTTATAGCACGTTATTTTTATGATACAAATCCCTTTCTGAAACATTTTCTTCTTTCTTGACAAAAAGTTATTCAACTAGCTTTACTATTTTCAAAAGAAAATCCTACATTACCCATAAAGAGTTAGGTACTTGGTTAACTCGGCTACATAAATTGTTTACATCATTTTACATAAGTAATTAAATCAGATAGATAAATAAATGATGAGTTTACCATTACAGATACATAAGTAAATAGCACAATGATTGATATTTGTAATATAAAATTGTATATTTAATAAAACTATTTTCTAAATTCTTCCAAATAAAAAGTGAGTATACAATGAAACGACTCAAACGAGGTTGGTTTTTGTGGGAGTAATGAATTTGTTTTTTTAAGTTGTCATTAAAGATACATGGGAAGTTTTCTCCATAGTAACTGCAAGAAATATGGATCCAGATAAATTAAAAAGTTACTGAACCTCCTTTTGGTGAATTAGCCATGCTAAAATAAGACATCGAGCTTTCTATTCTTGATGAACAGCAGCTTAACCTCAACATTCTTAACACAATATAACCTCAACATTCTTAACACAATATATGTAAGTTCCATCTTTATTGGCATTCAGCAAGCAAGATAAATAGCTCTTCGTCAGTTATTGCTCCCATCTCCATTGCTCTTTCAAGTACAGTGTGTCCACCAGCATCTTTAACTGACGGTCTTGCGCCCCTGGTAAAATGGCATGTTAGTTTAAGCTTTAACTGAAAGTGTGTTTGGTTAGATAGAGATGCATGTGTGCAAGAAAACATAAAAAGCTTGGCAGATTAAAAACACTCGGTTGTTTAAGCAATGATGAGTTGTTGTCTAAGCACGTCGTGATACATACATAAAATGGGGAACTGATGATCAATCCAATTAGTGGGGCTTATCGTGGACAAGGAATGGAACACATTCCTACTTGCTTCTGATTCTAAATAGACTTAAGGAAAATATTAAAGCTCGTCAACTAAACTTCAGCAGAAACAAATATATGAACAATAGTTCAAAGTTTTATACATGTAAGCGATGTAATCAGTTCTGTGGTACATTACTATGTTTGACAGCAAATGCACAGAATCTCTGATTGTTTGTTTCAGTACAACGTGTTGTATAAATGGGTTATGAATAAGAAGTTGGAAGAATCGTGTCTTTTCGTTTCGAACAGTCATGCCTCTTCGCTTGTGAAGAGTCGCACCTCTTCACTTGCGAATAGTCATGCCTCTTCGTTTTTGAATAGTCATGACGCTTTGGCTCGTGACCTGTCATCTCCTATATATATCTATGTCCAGTGAATCCAAATTAGAAGTATTTCTGACTCCTTTCCCCAAAATTGTGCCAAAATTAATCCCCACATATTGCCTTTGTCTACAATTGGTCAGCGTTCGTTCGCCAAACAATTGTGTGTTTCCTATACCCGCCCCGAACAATTGTGTTTCCTATTGTCTTGCTTTACACTCAAAGGTCGACGATTACAAGGCATCGCGTCCACCGATTGATCAAGTAAATCCAATAGGTCTTACTAGGGACGGTTACAAGGCATTGAGTCCACCGATCCCGATGCAATTGTTGCTCATTGATCAACCGCAGATTGTACCTAGCCCGAGATGCAAATGGTCAAAGACGATAAACTTCTTATTCATGTGGAGGATTGTTGTATAAATGGGTTATGAATAAGAAGTTGGAAGAGAGTCGTGTCTTTTCGTTTCGAACAGTCGTGCCTCTTCGTTTCCGAATAGTCATGACTCTTTGGCTTGTGACCTTTCATCTCCTATATATACCTATGTCCAGTGAATCCAAATTAGAAGTTTTTCTGACTCCTTTCCAAAACTCTGCCAAAATTAATCCCTACATATTGCCTTTGTCTACGATTGGTCAACATTCGTTGTGTCTGCCGGTGTTGTTTCTTCTGGTAGTGCCACTGTTGAAACAGAGGTAACCCGTTCTATCCTGGGAGGCATTTGTCCATGAACCTTAGGCATCGTTGAGGGGGAAAAATTGTCTTAAAGGACACAGTATCTAATACTAGGCTCGGGTTTGACTTTCTACAACTTTTCTGCCTTGCATATTACATTTTGATTTTCAGTGATTGCATGTGATCTTTATGATTTCACTGATACCACCATTACCAAAAACACAGATTTTGCACTACAACCGATAACACAATGTGGTGCCTGTCTTCATGGACTCGTTTTGGTACTCAGCACATGAACATCTCCAACTAGTCTCGTTAATAGACCTGTATGGATACGAGAGCACTTTCCTATAGATTATTTTGTTCAGGAGTAATATGCTCAGATATCAAATCGTTCTCTTTATTTGCAAAAGCATACGGCGGCAGAATGCCAATTGACGCTTTTGTTCGAACAAAACAGTAAATAAATGAACCCATGAGTATGATAAGGTGCTTGAGTAATGTGATTCATATGCTGTTATTTACTGCATTGGTTGCCCACATCTTCAAGGACAATTCCTGCCTTAGTTTTTGGTGGGTTGAAGTTGTATTTCTGGCTTCTTTCTGGTGTTTCATTCATGGCTATATCCAAGGGATTTCTACCTCAGATAAGCTAACTGTTTAAATGTAATTAAGGATGCCTTAAATTCTATTCATGTATCTTAATCTAAATTCTTTCCAACACAACTTTCATAGAAGAATAAAGAACGAGAGGAAGAATTTATACTTGCTTACTATACCAAATGCCTTTAACAGGGTAAAACTGGCTTAAAATAAAAGTATTACCTTCTCAGTAGAAACTTTGCCAATGGATTTTTCCCAGTAGAAATGCAATGGTGCAAGGGAGTCCTTCCATGATAGTCACGCATGTTTATATCAGCACCAAATTGGAGTAACAACTCAACCATTAGTGCACTGTCAGAATGACATGACAGATGTAATAATGACCAACCATGGAAACACCTTTCTGTCTCATTAGTCTCTTTAATTCTCAGACAGGCTTCAGGATCATGCTGTTGCCCTTCAGTATCAGCATGCGGAAACACATCATCATATTTCGTGTTTACCGGATTTGAAGTTGATGTGACAATAAGGTGATACACCTCTCGTACATTTATAGCCTTAACTGCTTGCCAGATTCTTATGGAAACTGATGGATTCCCAGGTATATCATCTTCCCGGATGATTAGTGATTTCTCTACATACTGATTAAGAAAAAACACGACTTATAACAATATTCAGATTTCAGTAAAAACTTAAGAAAGCAGAGGCTTGCTAATCAGATAATACAGTAATACATAACATAAATGTCAAGATGCAAAAGTGGCATTGCACTAGCAGAAACAATATGTATAAGAGAGAGAGAGAGCAACGAAAACAAGAGAATCCAGAGGTGAAATTAAGATTATAAAGATTACCAATCCAATTCAAGTATTCACAAAGTCTGGCTACATAATCTCTCCAAATAAGGAACCATCAACTATTCTATTTCTAATTCTGTTAAAGCAAGGAAAACCAGTAATTATGACGAGACAGGTGAAGTCAAATCCACAAAATACTCTCTAATTCCAATTGAAGGCTTATGTAACTTCCTAAATTGTTAGTTGACAACTAATAATCCTTAAGACTTTGGATAATTTTAAAACATTTAAAACATAATCCTGAATGCTGGTGCCCTTGGATATTAACAAATACCTTAACAAATTCACCCATAACATAATTTTTTTAAAAATATTCCTCAGTAACTAGAATATCATTGAATAATACATTAAAATCCTTAATAAACAGACATGAATTAAAAAAGAATTAGAATTACGCTATCTTACTCATGGAAAGGAATTGTCACATGTCTAACATATCAAGCTGCCTCTATAAGCAGTAAACCACAAACTTCCCTCTATAAAAAGTGAAATTGAACTGAAACTGCTTACCTTTGCATGGATGTACTTTTCCTTGTCTTGGAATGCATCTGTGGTGCATGGTTTCATAGGCACATTTGATTCACCCACTCTGCAGATAATTGTTCCCAAAAAGCTCAACTACTATCCGCCCAACATGATATATATGGCACATACTGTACTTCAGTACTAGAAAGCCAAAATTTTACCTTTCATCATTAAGTTGAAGCAAGCCCTCCCAGACAGAATTACAATAAGCATTACCTAAGTTATCAAATAACTCCAAAACGGTAGGTTCCCAAACCTTAACATCTAATGTTATAGATCTAACCTGCAGTTGGTAGATAAAATTTAATAACTTTTAGAAAATGGAAATCAATTGTTAATACCAAATCAGAAATCACATTATTTAAGAAAATTGACTCATTTCAATTATAAAGATAAACAAAAGTCCATATTATTTCTCAAAAGTCAAAACTAATAAGATTCATAAAGTGAAAGCCTTTCGCACAGGAAAGAAAGTGGCGAAAAATATGTAAGCACTTTAATGCAATATAACCATCGTAGATCAATAAAGTTAAGAAGTAAAATCTTTACAATCTCAAACTGCGGATGCTTCAAAGTTAAAGATAAACTTTAAAACAAATTTCAATCAAGTGACAAATTTTTTCTTATTTCCAAATATAAAGACAGAAATAGAATAAATGGTTAGCATTTATATCTGAAAGAGTGCACCTTTGAGATATGAACTCCAAGATTTCGATGCACTCCAGAACATTCAATACACAGCAATATGCCAAGGTTTAGAGATGCCCAGTCTGGTTCAGGAGCACTGCACTCAGCACACTTATCATTCCCAGGAATTCCCCTTAAAATCTTAGAGACACTACCCACTTCCTTGGAACATATGTCATCCATCAAAGAGTTATGACTATCCTCTGATTGACTTGTCAAAGAAGCACCAATTGCTGAGTTTTTATTTTCTAAATGCAATCTACCATAATGAGGCTGCAGCAATTACAAAAGGAATAGTGTTGACATAACATCAAATATGGACATCTTGACATGAAATTAAGCTTAAAAAAAAAGAATAGGTAACCTGTTGAAGAAATTGAGAATTAAAAACCGATGTGATAGCTCCAGTAATTTTGTTTACCCAGTCCATCCTATCAGCTTCATTTTCAGCCTGATAAAACCAATTTCGAGAATCAACTAACAAAAAACAAATCCAGAACCAGAACTTCAAGAAACCAGCACATAGAGTTTGATACAAGATCTAGCAAAGAAGCTCAATCTAAAAGATGCAAGACTATAAATTGCGCTTGAAGGGTGAACAATGCACAAGCTCACCTACTAAGAAATTCCACAATATTTAATTATTTATTTATAAAATGAGAGCGGTGAAGATCAAACTTATGAACATTTGGTCAGAGAGGCTTTGATACTATGTAAAGAATCAATTCGACCCAAAAGTCTAAACTGTTAGGTGAAAGCTATATTAATGGTTTATATTACGTTTGGTTGTCACCAATAAGAAATTACGTTTGGTTGTCACCAAGATAAGTTAACACATATTACAAAGGCTCATTCTATGACTCATTCAAATATATGAAATAAGTCAATCAGTCACCTGCAGTGTATATGTTTTTGAGGGAGAAATTATACGGAAGCAAAGTCGTAGATCTGTATCCTCTGCATCCATCTTTATAGTGGATGTGCACAGATCAATTGCAAAACAGCCCAAACTATCCTCATTTAACGACGCTGCCCTGTTGTGCCTTGCACGGAATCTACCAAACATGCCACTATTTTGTTCAGAAGAACGAGTATAATTATATGACTGAGAACCCTGGGGACAGATTTGGAAGAAAAAACATTAGCAGACTGCTTGAGAGATCAAAACAAATATAAGACAACAATAACTACCATGGGTTTGGCTCCTTTCACTCTGTAATAATATAAATTCCCGTGGTTATCAAGTACAAAGAACCTCCGTTTCCAATCTCGCGCACTTGATGATCGTTTTAACAGATAGCCCTGTTTAACTGTTTGAATCTAAAAACAAAGGTAATAAAAAAAAAAAAATTAAAATTACAAGTCACACAATATGACATAAAAAAAAGGAAAAAAAAAAAACCAATACATTTAATATAAACAGGAGAACTTTAACATATTAACCAGAAAAAGCCAATTACTTGCCTCCCCTTTGGTTGCAGACTGCATCCCTGCTTCAATGCTTTTGTAAGAGTTCAAACCTACAATACGGGTGCCATCAGCACCTGGCACAGATTCTGAATAGCTGCTAGAAGCTCTTGTATTTTCCAGCTCCGCCTGTGTTCTGTATTCCTGGATCCGTTTTGCAAGCTTATCTTGCTCAATATTAGCCTGTTCTTTAGACTGTTGCGCGTACGTTAGCACCTAAGTTCAGAACAGTAACCAAATATAAAATCAAGTGTGAATTTTCATGCAGCAATATAGGTTTGAGTCAGTGAAACCTACCAGCATCAAATATTAAAGAGATTACCTCCAAGTTGAACATTATAAAATAAAACTAAGTCAAAAATTACACATTCTACTGTCACAAAGTATAATTACGACCCTTTGTTCATAACATGCCCCAAATCAGGTAGAAGAATCAACAGCTTAGAACACACAAAACAATAGCAGAACTGTACATTCCCAGTAACAGCATAAGACATTCATTAGCAAGAGTTACTCTCAAGCTGCTAGGAGTTTAAACTACGTACAAGTAATTCAAACACAGACACTACTAGGCATGCAGAGTCATTTTACCTCTATTTAGTACCTCCTCTAACATTTTTAGTGGAATAAAAGACTCTTTACATCAATTAACCAACATGCCTGTAACATTAAAAGCAAATATGAAATAAGACAATGGAGACAACTAGCCTTAAAAACTTCTATTTTTGGATCATTTAAAAGGAACTATGCATGTATATTATCATTCTTAGTGTTGAGTACTCAATAGGAAAATCACTTAAAGATATTAGAAGTGGTAGTGGAATCAAGAGCTGGAAGCTCTTCATGCCGCACATGTACAAGCAGCTCTCAGGCATTGGTCATGAATCAGGAGACTCGTAAAGGAGGTACCATACAAGATTATTCAATACTGACTAGTTAGCACCAAAGGATCTTAGTGAAAAAACTCTTGGAGGAATTTCTCTCTTTTTTCTGTGAAGATTCAGCTATCAATAACTGTCTTTATTCATTCTTTCTCTCTTCCATACCATGCCTTGGCTTTCTCATTTGTGGGTCCATAACACCTATGCTAAGTCAATTATTTCAAGGCCAACAGAATTGCAAATAAGGAGACTGTTTTATACAAGAAAAATTACTTTTGACACTCGGTAACAGCACTAGTGCAGGTGGAGTAAGTCATTGAGATTGATGTTAAGTTCCACAAACTTAGAAAGGGCAATCCATCTATCCAATGACCTCCAAATGTCGCTGTTTAAAATCAGCAAATAAAATACTCCTTCAACTAAAGTCAGATAGGCTACTAATAAAGAATGGAGCATGACAATTGTCATCCTTTTCCAACTGTTTCATCAAATATGTTCAACATATTCTCATGTACGAAATGTAAGAAAAACACACTTTATACCTGGTGAATATAGGGCTCCATTTGGCTCAGTAAGTCATAACCCTAAAGCATAAGAAACTTGTTGAGTGCAAAATAACAATAATTAAAAAAACTGAAAGTTCAATTATGAAGAATTAGCAACCAATTTACGGACCAGCTTAAAGTATCTCAGATGAGCATCCATTATTGCACTAACGGACTCCAAGAACTCATACTTCTTTTTCACTTCAATATTCATGAGAGAGTTTACCTGCACTCCTTGAAACCGAATAGCCAGGTTTATAATATAAAACAGGTTGTGGAGATTTCAGCAAAAAAGATCCATAATTGTAGAAGACATACTAGATTGAAGCGACTTTTTTCAAATGCTGACTTTGAATTTTGTAGATCCTGTCATGGATCAGAGAAATAGATAATTAATTAAATAATTAGACTCACAATTAATCATGAAAGAGTATGCAAAAAAATTAAAGAGAACACAATAGATTATGAGACCATGTTAACAAATATGTAGAGTTGTCCGTGAATCAAGATCAACAGGATAATAAAACAGAATCAAAAGGCTTGCCCCCATGACACCAGACCTTCTAATGCATAAAACCACTCTCATTAAACCCCGACTAACGAGGGTAGAGATGAAAACAATCCTTATACGCAGTCTTATCCTTGCATATTTGCAAAAAGACTATTTCTCGGATTAAAACCCGTGACTTTTTTGTCACAAAACAGCTTTATCACTACTCCAGACTCGCCCTCTTAGACCTTCTAAGGCATAGAGGCTTAAAACACAAGGTAGCTCTCACTGGAACTACAAGGTAAACATATTAGCCTTATCATGCTGTCCCTTAAACTTTTATTTTCCAGTTTTGATATTACAGACTGCATTTTAACTTTCATCCTACAGACTGGTCATATTTTCAGATTTAGAATCAATGGAGATATCAGGATGCTAAGTGTTTGTATATGTTCCATCCACTCCAAAACTCAAAATGGACTTTGGAGGTCCTTACAGAGATCTGAGGGTGTGACAGTACCAACGTAAATACTATGACTTGAAATTGACCCATTTAACCTTGCCCCAGGTAGGTTTCACAAGTATATCTCTGTAATATCATTTTAAAGTTGTCTCTTCTGAAGTCACTTATCAAAGAAAGAATAGTGAATTATCCAAGATTGAGTTAAAAAAAAGGACCACGAATGAAGAGAATTGTCACAAATTAGCTCTCCTAAAAGTTTAAGCTATTAGGTGATGATACATGAATGATTTTATATTACATCTGTAACACATCCCCTCATGCAAGAGCCCTTTGGTCTTGGAGCGTAGATATTGCACAGGCTCACCTACCTTGTGCTGAAATTTAACTTTTTGATTAGAAGAATGGGGGCGGAAAGGATTAGACTCTAGACCACTTGGTCATAGAGGCTCTAATACCATATCATGAACCAACTCTCCCAAAAGAGTAAGTTTTTAGGTGAAAACCCATGAATGGTTTTATATTACATCCCAAACAAGAATATGAGGAAACCTTTTCAACCTTTTACTGCTAAATATAGAACTAAAGCTTCAGCTGGATCACTACTCACTTCAATATTCATAACCAAAACAATAATAAATTTTAAATTAAGAAGGAAAATGATTAAATGCATTCTAGACTAGGTATCAATGTAAACTCTGGCATGTAAAAAAAGTCACATGCATAACGCTTGAAGAACTGGAAAAAAAATTCATAACAATTTAATATCATGGCACAGCACAAGAAAGATAAGGGAAATCTCAGATAAGACTGAAATTTTTGAGAAGCTACTAATCATTTACAAATTGATACAGCAAACCTCTTCTAATTCAGCAACAATGTCTTCCGGCGTATTCTTCTTCAAGGACACAAACTTTTCTCGCGACTGGAGAAAAAAATACATTTATACTGTTAGAAACCATAACAAATATCAACTGTGAGCAATTGGATATTTGGGTTCAATTATAGTCCAAATTTGAATTAAACATAACATAAATGGATGATCTATGATGTAGAAGTCAAAGATGAAAGCAAATTATTGCTTTTAGAACAGCTATTCAAGTGCAAAATAGAAATGCCTTTATAGGCAAGACTTTCTTGATAATTTAAATCAGCACTTGGGCCATTCTGAAATTAAGCCATCCTTACCTCAATGCTTGCATGAGCACTCAGATTGCTAACATAGCAGTTTGATGTATTTTCTAAAATATGTTTGTCTCCAAAAATATCAAGGATTATCCCTACTGGAGTTAACTAGGGTTTTCATCAATGTATAATTTAACATAAACAACTGTAAGTTTAGTCAAAAGACAAATAAAACAAAGGGCTTAAGAAATAATTGTAAAAACAAGTACACATAAATCATGGTCAATTATTTTAGAAGCTAAAATTCTTATGAACCAATACATACAAGACAAGTTTAACCAGAAAAAAGACTAAAAGCATCCACATAACTCATTTCTGAGGAAACCTAAAAGCTGAAAAATAATTAAGATACTTCAAGAAAAAGAAAAGGGTTGAAATAAATAGGATGAAAACCCATAAAAGATATCAAATAACAAATAGTCAGACAACAGAAAAGGAAAAGAATTATCATTTAGTCAATGTACCACACAAGCACTGAACTGTTAGAAGAATATCTAAATATCACAAAGACAATCAAAACATTGACTTATGAACACCAATTTGATTTACCAAAATTACTGATTATATTTGCATATACAAATGTTAGAAAAAGTCATTAATAGGTTTGAAAGATAATTTTTCTTTTCTTGATACCTGATCATAAGAATGCACAGCTTTGTCAAAACGGCGACGAGAATCCTGATACAAGCAAGAAAGGATGGAAAACAGAAGAGGGAAAATGTAAGAAATTCAACCAACCATATGAAGCATGTATATGCAACATAGAACTTTTACAAAAGAAACATCAACCCAAAGACTAAAGAGTAAATACCTTTGCTTCTTGCAAATCAACATTCATAAACTCCGACAGCCGGTCAATCAACACATGCTCTACCTATACAAAAAATCTGTCAAGTAATTACTGAAACAAAAAATCTATCTCAGCAAAACATAAGGAAGACGGCTTAAGAGATTGCCAACCATAAATAAGTTAACAGGCGTCACTCTTCAATTTTTCTTTCTGTTTCTTTAGTATACAACCCAATTGATCTGGTGCAGCCAGCAAAGATTCATGAAAAGAAAAGCTTAAACAAGGAAAGAATTTTCAACTACAGTTCAATTTTTATTACAAACAAAGTTGGAACCTTCGGAACTTTTCTTCTTTGGGTAAAAATGTTAACTGGTAACTTCCATAGGTTTAGTCATCATTTACATGCTGCTTCAATTTTTTTCAGACTTAGGAAACTGTTGCTTAAGTTCCATTTGATTTTTCTGGAGTTGCAGAGGAATGGACTACTAAATTTCTTAAATCTTTTTGTTTCTTCAAGTTAGGCCTGTTTTTGGCATGACACAGTTCACGCACAACAAAGCAAAATGGAGAAAAAGAGAATCAGTCACATAATTTTCATTTTACTACTAAATGAATAATTAATGTATAAACAACACAGTCTTTATGAGATCTTTGAACACCATCAGCAAATGGTTACATCAATACATTAAGCCAACTTATAAGCCTGTCCAACTTACTCTGATTTAATTTAAAGATAAGAGAAATCAACAACAATTTTTTTTTTAATATGTTGGTTTTAGCGAACTTCCTACCCTACAAGTCTAGGTATAATGGGAAGTGGTTTTTTTGGTTGGTTTTAGCAAACTAATTAAGATTATTAACTAAAAGGATTTGAGCTAGTTGAATAAGCAGACCAAAAAATCATTGCGTTCAAGATAAAATACACCTAAAGTATGGCAAGTCTCAGTCACCATTGAAACTCCAAGAAAAAAAAGTGCAGCATTCTGGTTCAAGGACTCACCTGTGAACGAAGAAGCTCTTTAAAACTAGCTAGCTCACGCAGTGAGTTAATAAACTTAGATATAACAGGTCCTGGAAAAAAATAACAGTTAGAAAGCAAAATACACTATAATCTCAGTAGTGCTGTCTTCATGATTTTTTTTTATTTTTTTTTTATACATATATTCATGATGTTAGGTAACCCACTTATTGTAATATCATCAGAAATCAAAGCAGCTTATGTGGAGCTTGAGTGGTGACAAAGCTGTCCCCAAGTAAGTTATATGGTAAAAGCTATTACACAACTATGTAACAGGTAAAAGGAAAAGAGCAGTCAGGAAATAGATAAAAATCCATTTATTAAAAATAAAGGGTAAAGGTCTGCGAAGTTAAATAATTTTACGAAATCACTAAAAAGGATAATGTTGATAAACAAATATGGTACTATATAAAATACTAAATTAAGTAACAAAAACATTAAACACTAAATGAAAATAAAGCAGATCCATATATAAAAGAAGCATATATTGGGTTTGTTTAAACCACTTCCCACAGAACCCCCTCAGGAAGTAAAACAGAATATATGAAAATAAATCTCAACAACCTCCAATTGATACGCTAACAGGGTCATCCAGGCCACCGCCAAATGCTTCTAATGAATCAGCAAAGGCAATTTCTCCATTTAATGCTTCCCCCAAAGCTGTCCTGAGGAGATACAGAGCAAAGAATTAATAACTTCCCCATGCGGTTCCAACAAATAGTTTGACGGGCTAATTTGATGGGTGAAATTTTCAACAAAAACATGGTGCTTCTATGTTAAAGCCACATCTTTTAGCCACAACTGCTGCAATTAGACCAAAAAGTCATTATTATGAAAGACCTAGCTCTTTTGTTTTTCTTTTTCATTTAATTAAACTTCATGAACAATAATAATTAGATATTCCACATACAACACCTCATGACCAAGTTTGGTAGCATTGAAATCACTTTTGAATTTAAACACATTTACATTTGATTAACCAAAGTCAATTTTAAAAATCCACATTAAAAAAATTATGAAAGGATACTATTAGAAAAAAAGGATAGAAAGAACAACTGGGAATGAGATAAGAAATTTTCCTAAAAAGAATAATGAAAAGATAAATTTAGTAAATCCAAAAGTAGATCTAATAATCTACATAGGAATACCATCAAGCACTTACATAAACTTCTTGCACCCTTTGTATAGTTTCTGGCACCGATCCTTTAACTCATCAGTTGTTTCTTCAAGAGAAAATAACTGTCCCATTGAAAATAAATAAATTACTGCAAGGAGTCATCTTTGTACATTTGGTAAAAAACTATTAATTTTCCAAAAGAGCTACTGATCCCAAAATCTTGATCAATATAAAATTATAAATACATGGAAATGCACGTTCACATACTTTTTGGGGGGAGAAACAGGAAAAGTTACAAGAATTGAAGAGTAGACGAGTACAAAAGTAGATAATAAGGAATCTTCTTTCTGGAAACAATGATCAAACAAAACACGAAGAACACATTTTACACAGAAAAGTCAGCTAATCCTATTGCATATCATGACAAAGACACCTCAATAAATTTATTTTAAAAAAAAAAAAAAGAGTAATTAAATGAGCACCATATAACATCCAAGAAGACAACAGTGTCCCACAAAAGTATCAATGGCAGATATTTATCCTTTAGAAAAACCTCGCATACTTGCATAAATCCTTATTTCCTTACTCATTCCAAATCAAGGAAAATGAGAATTCCAAAGTAGCAGGATAAAACTAAAACTATCCTAAAGCCTTATTCCACTCCACAACTTCCAATGCTATCCTAAACTAAATATCTATCAAGCAGTATTTCACAAAACAAATCGAAACTCTACAACTTGTCTCAGCAGCAATATGAAGATTCGAAAGGGAAGGGAAAACAAACAATCCTCACAAACTAAACACGAAGCACAATGTTATACGACAGATGCGCAGTGTCACTAAACCAAATCTGAAGAGAAGCATGATGCAGCAGCAGCTAAGTGATCCGGAAATGGAATTGCGAAGACGGAAGAGAAGGATTAGAATGAAATCGAAGAAGAAGAAGAAGAGAGAGAGGTAACCTGCTTCTGGAACATTGGGGAATCATCGAGCTTGACGAATGCTGAAGCCATTGTTGCTCTCTGGTGCGTGTGGCTTGGTCAAGCTCAGTTAGAATTTTAGATCAAAATGATGATACGCATCAGATGGCGATGCACCTGGCTGGGTAACGTGACTATTTTGTCCCCGCCGTTAACCCGCCACGTGTCTTATACCCCCTTGTTTTTCAATGTTAACAGCACTCTTGAACTGTAATGTAACCATTTTAGTGTCAAAAGTTTTTCTAAATATATGTCTCCTTTATATCAAAATTGCTTTGAAGATTATATTTATTATTATTTTAGTTTAATTAATTTTATTATCTGATTGATTATCGTTGAATTAATTTAAAATTAATGATAATTAATTTTTTTATTTTTTAGTCATTGATTTCAAATTGATCATCAATCAGGTAATAAAAATAATAATAAATATAATCACCTCATATATTATTATATGACTGTTTGCAATTCTTGTTAAAATCTCCAAACACTAATTATATTTCTAATCATACATTAAATATGGTTAATGCTAAAATAATAAATGCAAATAAGTATATCCTTGAATTATATATGATATGATTACAATTTTCATATAATATAAGAATTCATCCTCACAGGTCACACCCGTTGCTCTGTGTTCCTATTGCCTTTATGCTGTCTGAGACTTTATCAATCTTTCTTATTGGCCGTACGTCTTATATAATTATACATGCCCTTGTCCTTACTCAAATGAGAGTCCCTATTTTGAAACGGGTGGAAATAGTTGACAGAATAATGACATTAAAGTATTTTCTATTGTTTTTTATTTGAAGATATGTGAGAAGCTGGCTTTGCAACTTAATATTAGTGGTGCTGCGGTTCGGAGGAAAAGTGATCAAAATATCACATTTTGTGAAAAAATTTATCCAAATGTCACATAAATATTATTTTTATCGAATTGTCACGTGTCATAATTCGTTATCACTGATAGCGAATTTCGTGGCCAATAATTTCGTGACACGTAGCTATATTGCAGACCAAATTCGCTACCAGTGGTAACAAATTATGACACATCAGCTTTTTCTTGCGAAAATGTGTCACGTGTCAAAAAATTATACTTACGTGATAGTCTGATAAAAAGTATTATTTGCGTGGCATTTTGATAAAAAATTTGTCAAAATATAACATTTTGGTCACTGTTCCCCCAATTTGGATCGAACGCACCACCTTTAATGGCAGCAAATGGTTCAATATCGAAGGCCTAAGTAATAAGGAATGATCATACGAGGAAACCTTAACCATTAATTAATAAATTAACGATGAATACTTATATCTTTATATTCTCATATTTTTTCTCTTTTATTTCTTATTATTATTGATCCACTATTATATGATTATCATCTTCCCATATAACATAATCATGTATGTTAAATAATATCTTTCATCGAAAGATATCAATTGCTAAGATTTCTTTTGTTCTTTCCGGGCGATTGGAAAAGAGGAACCACTATTATAATGACATTAAAGCTTAGCACAAAGGCAAACAAAAAATAACATGTCGCTTTTACAGTATGGTATTAATATATGGTGCTTGGTGAGTGTGAAAGGTGATAAACGATCTAGTTGTTTCAACTAAAACTGGGACCTACGTTGTTTGCTTCAAAGGCATATTTATAATTTTGATGTTTTCGTTTCTATATTGTAATAATATTTATGCGTACGAAAGTTTTTTTTTTTTTCTGAGTGTGGTTTTGGCTATTAAACCTGGTTTTTTTTGGTGAAACATAATTTTTAATCTAGTTTAGTTTGATGAAATTGAGAACATCACACCAACAAAATTAGTGCAATCAAAACAATAATAACATTGAATTTTAACTCCCTTAAGTATTAAGGGATGTTTGGGTTAATGATATTTGGCTTCAAAAGCCCTAGATTTTTCTTTCAACACATGTTGGAAATAAATTCTCTCATGTGTTAATTAATATAATCATATCATATGAGAGAATTTTAATCATATCAAAATAAATCAATGATAATCAGGGAAGAAAAAAATATAAAAATTGAAAGTTACACAATCATCAACATTGATTTGATTATTAATAGTTAAAATCATTATATATGACATGTTCATGTTTTTTTTTTTTTTTGATAACATGACATGTTCATGTTAAATAACACATGAGAGGAACTATTTTCATAGATCTGGATCCTCTCGTGTTAAAAAATAATAATATGGTCACATGGAGAATCATAATCATATAAAAGTGAATCAATGGTGATAAAAAAAGAGGAAAAAAATATTAAAATAAATAATTACAAAATCATAATCGTTGATTTACCTTCGTATGATTATTATCTTTGCACGTAATCATGTAATATTTTTTTTTTTTTTTTTTGAGAATCCATTTCCCATTTCCATAAAAAAGTTAGCTCCAAGACCAGGGACATTCCAATGTGGATTAATGATACTGCCAAGTGCCAACTGTGCATGTAAATTTGGGCTAATTACTCAAATGTAATAACGAGTTCAAATTCTTAATAATGTGGAGCTGTTTAATTTGTCATCTACTTGCTTCTTCTCCCATCTAAACATTAAATTGATTTTATCATGATTAGTTTTAAAGGAAAACGATTATACATATAATCAGTTATTGAAGTAATCCTTTTTTCACGGTTAACCCAAAAACGCACTAAGAGCTGCAATGTTAAATCAAATAAATATAGGAAAAAATGTGTATTATTTTAAAAGATGTAAAATTGTGTCATTTTAAGAGAGAGGAAGAGATAGATAAAAGAGGAGAGAGAGTTGACAAAAAAAATAAAAGGTGTGGGTCACACCTCTTTGTTAGAGTGAAAGGATATAAGTTATGTCATTTAAAAGGATAAACATTTTTTCCATAAATATATGAGGCTGTTTGATAGGAGTAATTTTTTTAGAATGACAGGAAAATAAAAGTGGGATTCATATATACTCTCATGTTTGGTAAGAGATTTCACAATATTTGCCCGGCCATCTAATTTGTTCTGGATTTGATGTTATGTACAAATTGTGTCGTATTTCCTTTCTCAAAATACCACCAAATTGATGATATTTTTCGTTTACCGAATGTAGGGATTTGGACACAAAATTTTTCCGACAAATGTGTCACTAATAAAGTGAAAGCAAGAAAAAATTAACCAAAACATTCATTATCGTATTTGAAAAAATAAAGTCAAGGTGGAGTTATTTTTGTAAAAAAATCTTACATTCTCACTAATATTTTTGCATACCAAACAGTTTTTTTATAATATTCTCGGATAATTCACTTTCCTACCATATTCATGGTAATCATAATTCATGGTTGAGGATAACGTGAATTTTATCCATCAAACCCCGTTGCCCAGCTATTCACAGATGCGTGTAAAAATGGAACAAAGTCACTGTTGAAGAAGCCCTCTCCCACCATGGTATTTTTGTGAAATCCGAATAAATGGAAAAAAGGGATGAAAAAGGAGACAAGTTTACCCTTTATTGTCTCTGAAGGCGAATCAACTTCTTCCATTGCTGACATCTTTAGTGTCGACGAACAAAGCATTTTGGATGCAAACGAGATTTCTTCTACTTCCGTTATTTTCTTCTTCACACCCATTTTGGTCCCTCTCAAACACGAGCCACCGACCAAGATACAAACAGCAGTGTCTCCAACGTAATCTCCGCCGCCGTTGCCGCCAACAACAACTCCGGCAGGGAATGGAGGTTCAGGCTCTTCCACGAAATGGGTTGTTGTTGGAGTCACAGTTGGAGTTGCTTTGTCGCTTCTTGTGATTCTCCTTGTGTTTTTCCTCTGTTTCTATTTTATTGCCGTTGGAAGGTTGTAATAAAACCAATGAGTTTTTATAAGGATTTTTTTGTAATTTCATTCAGTTTTCCCATCAATATTTTATCTTCAATCAAACACACATTCAGAAATTTTATTTAATTTTTCTGGTAAAATTTTGTCCAATCAAACAACTTTTTTAAAACTTTCTTATCTAATTTTCCCTGTAGATTCTTAGTATTTACATTTTCCTAGGATTAAAAAATTTCACCTCAACCAAACACCCCTTTAAAGTTCTCCAGAATCGAATAAATTAGATGATTCACTGTATGCATAATCAACTCGTAAATTAAACCAAGTAGCCAACCACTTCTATGTTAAAAAATGCTCAAGTTTGTTTTTTTTTTTTTTTAAATGCACTCTTAACCTAATGAAGACAATATTTTTCTAAACAAAAAGTGTAATGGAGATGCAGGGGATCGAACCCTGTACCTCCCGCATGCAAAGCGGGCGCTCTACCATTTGAGCTACATCCCCATGTATGGCTATGGTAAAAATATATTTTATATCAAACAAAAATACCGTTGAAGATAACTTCGTTGCTTCCAATACCGTTTTAGGAGTCGGGGTGGCGAACTCAGAGCCCTCTGGCTCAGCTCGTGAAGGCACGAGCTTATATGTTTAAAATTGGTTGTTAAAATCAGATTTGAACTTGTATAAAAACTCGTTTAATAAAAAAGTCTCAGGCTTCAATTGAAAAACTCGACCTCATAGCCTCTCAAGCTGGCCTAATATATTAAATTTTATATTTATTTTATATTTTTTATACTACTTGTAATAGCCCTATCTCTTTTCTCAATCCATTTCGCCCCATTTTATTGGTTAAATAAATTTTTTGAATGATTTTGTTCTATATTATCCTGTTTTGATATACATTGAATTTATGAATATTTATGGAATTACTAGTGCTAATGATTTTATATTCTGTTTGGATAAATTTTTGTTGTCTTGTTTTTTTTAAACAGGCTTTTATTTTTTGTAAATAAGTCAGGCCACAGGCCGATAGTTATATTCATAACAGGTAACATGCTTAATCAAACTGACACATTTAAATACAGGCTTATCCTCTTAAGATCAAAGTTCGGCTCGACTCGGCTCATTAACACCCCTACTTACATGTCTATAATTAGTTGTTAGAACCAAGTTTGGACTTGTATAGAAGCTCGTTTAATAAAAAAAGTCTTAGACTCCAATTCAGAAGTTCGGCCTTAGAGCCTCTCAGGCAGACCTAATA